CAATCTGCATGGTATTTCAAACCTCTGTCAAACATATCCGGCTCTTATAGATTCGAAGGGCGTGTCCATCCCGTTTGAAAGAAGTATTGATAAAATAATAACCAAACTGAATGAGTGAACTTTACGTTAAATAAAACAATTAACACGCAATTTTAATGATGTAAGGACAGAGTGACATTCTCGACAGACAAGAGCAAGTTCGTGTTTAAAGACAGATCACATCTCTTGAAATAAAGTCTTGTTCCTTTGAACAAATTTTAAATAGAACAGAAGTGATTAAAAGCATTTAGTGCAGAGCAGTTCAATTCAAACCTCTTTAAAGTTACTTACTTTGTATAGACTTGTAAAATGTAATGCAACCGTTCTTTATCGAGAACACACGCTGAAGGTCACAATCTTCTTTTCCGGTAGTCTCGCAGAAAATTTTATGCAAATATAAAAAAAAATTGAAGGATCTAAAATATAATCAATGACACTAGTAAGGTCTATGTCGATGAATATAGGGTGAAACACATGTTATAAGCAGTAAATATATTTTTTAAATATAATTGTCGATTTTTTCTGGATTGACTAATAACCGAAAAAGTGAAAGAGCTGAGAGACTGTAAACGGTAATGTTTCTCCACCTACACAAGTCCTTCTTTCCAGAAGGCATTATATTGAAATAAATTATAAGTAATATACAACAATTTAATATTATTTCAATTTTTAATTAATTGGAAAAGGAAAGATCTATAATCTATTACTTAAAAAAGGGGAATCTATTTTACAAGACCGTAGTCAAACCTAGCTTGAATGTGTTGCTTTACATGAGAAAGCATATGTTTAAGACCTGACTAGAACAAAACAATGTTAGTTTTTTTTTTTGTTATCAGTTTTATAATGTGCAGTCGCTTTGATATTTTAATTTTTCAAAATATAAATATTATTATGGGTAATATTTTACTATAGTGCAATTGGGTAAGTGGGCAAGTGCCTTCGCAATCTAATTAAGCTTAGACATTTCATCTCGCTCTTCATAGATTGATTTGTCGCTCGTGAAAGAGCGACAAATCAATCTACGAAGAGCGAGTTGAAAGGTCTAATTCTAATTAGATGGTGCCTTCGCATAATTTTCTTAAATTTTTCTGCATTAACGATAAATATCTTTTTGTGTTCATATCATTTGTTGATTATTAATATATATTTAACAATCAGGGGAAGCTTATTCCCCCATGGTACCTGATCCCAACTCTGGCGTTTTGTCTAATTTGATCTACATTATATATAACATCAATAAAAAGAGAGTAAAATGTACTAAAAGAAAACACTGTACATAGAAAAGAATCCCCCCCCCCACTCGGTTTACGGACCTGTATTCTTTAAAATTTAAACTTTTACATGTAATGTCGATTTCGCAAAGTTCCATTAATTTAAAACTACTTAATTGTACTGAACAAAATTAACCTTACCTTTTTCCTTCCCTTTGTAACAGGAGAGGAGAAAATGCAGTGGATCAGACCGGGATTCGAACCCGGGCCCCCTGATGCTCCGGTCAGGTGCTCTACCAACTGAGCTATCTGGCCATCAGTGGTCGAACCCGGCTTACCGCCACATTCCTCCCTCCTTAAAGGTCTTTGGCCCTCTAAAGACCCCAACCCAGGCTCATCCCTGGCAGGTCTTTCACCTGTCAATCCCAGGGCATGGCACGGCACCAAATGCAACGGGAGAGGAGAAAATGCAGCGGACAAGACCGGGATTCGAACCCCTGAAACTCTGGTCAGGTGCTCTACCAACTGAGCTATCTGGCCACCGGCAATCGAACCCGGCTTACCGCCACATTCCTCCCTCGTAAAAGGTCTTTGGCCCTCCAAAGACCCCAACCCAGACTCATTCCTGGCAGGTCTTTCACCTGTCAATTCCAGGGCATGGCACGGCACCAAAAGCAACGGGAGAGGAGAAATGCAGCGGACCAGACCGGGATTCGAACCCGGGCCCCCTGAAAAATTAAATTACAAGATCAAAATTATTGGTATCAAAAAGAAGGTCTTGTCATAAAGAATCTTGGAATGAACCTGTGAAATATTTAAATTTTAGTGCTTGCTGTTTAAAAGTTATGACCAAGGTTAAAGTTTTTTTTTAAATATGGGGTCAAACTCTAAGGTCAAAAGTATTTAGCCTACACCCTTTGTCTATGTGAAGCATGAAAACCCTAGCACCAAGTATTAAAAAGTTAATTTTGACCAAAGTTAAAAATTGGTAATTTTTAGTTATAAGGTAGCCGGGTTTAACTCAAAGGTCAATGGGTCAAATTTGGCGCATGTTTCCCTACATAGAGTAGATTTCGGATCGCAAACCCTTGGATAGCTAAGATGGGTACCCTAAAAAAGGTCTTGTCACAAGGACTGAATACAATACACGTGAAAACATATGAAATCCATAACCCTATCCACTCAAAAGCTATGGGAAAGGTTACAGTTTTTTTGCGAACAAACAGAAAGACGGGCGGGCAGGGCAAAAACTACATATCTAGATTCCTCGATTACGGCATTGTCTCAAGACAAAGTCTGGAGTTCGCATATATCTCTCTCCTACCAAATGGGTGAGGAGCGTACACTTTGGCCGTGATTTGCGACGATGCGATGACGGGGGCATAAAAAGATATCGCGTAATCACGCACGATGAAAAGAAAATGGAGATAGGGGGTCAAACCGAAGAAATAGAATAATTCAAATTACAGTTCAAAAAGCAAAAAGGCAAGTCCAATTTTTATGCCCCTCAGTGGAAGATTCTTGCGATGTCAAAGTTTTTGCAAACTCCAAACAGACAGACGGACGAACCTTGCCCAGAACTTTTGATTGGGTGGGGCTATGGTTTTCATATTTCACAGGCACTATGTATACTCCTTGTGACAAATCTTTATTAAGGTACAACCAAAAACCTAGCTCTTGGTCTTGGAATCTGATCCTCTTTTTCCAAAACTTTCCAAACCTTAACCTTGGTCATGTAACTTTTGAACAGTAAATTGGTGCTTTTAACAGTAATTAAATTGGTGCTAGGGCTTTCATACTTCACATGTGTATTCATTGTGACACTGCATTAAATCTTAACGGCTTTATCATAGGCTTGATGGCATCTTTAATTTTTGTCCCCCGCTTTCTATTAAACATGTTATGATTTCTGACCCCGTGATCTTGACCTTTGCGTTTGACCTACTTTTCAAAAATGTTATTTTTTCTTTATAACTTTTGATAGAAAAAAAGATAGGACTTTCATGTTTGACAACTATAATATACTTTAATTAGGTCAAACATTCAGGTCAAGGGGTCAGATATGATAACTGACCCCCTTGACCTGAATGTTTGACCTAATTAAAAAAATCAACTTTGGTGATAACTTTTGAATGTTATATGATACGGCGATCATATTTGATACAATATGTCATAAATAATGACATCTCATCCACGAAGTCACCGAAAGCAGGGGATCACAATGCTTTGCTTTTTTAATATTGAAAGGGGGGGGGGGGTAAAAATACAAACATACATGAAAGTTTTATATAAAGAAGCATATAAAATTAAATGAAATTTACAAAAAATTTGGACCATGAATTCTTCCCCTGGCATCCGAAGGTTCTTCATACTTTTTCATTGATTTACAGGAGCTGTATGTCGTCTGCTGGCGTTATCAGTTTAACCGGCATTTAGTTTGCTCATGTTGATTTCCTGTTGTTTATGGAGTCGGCGAAGCTCATGGCCACATGGCCACATGCGACTGCGAGTCACTGAACCCAGTACAAAGTCCGCTGTTGCGGCTTTAGATTTTTTGTTATAAACAAATTTCTCCACAAGTGAATTAAACTCATCTGAAAAACAAAGATAATGTCAAAGGTAAGAGTAGGACGGGAAAAGAAATGCTCAAGCTCTTCTCAGTTTACCTTCAAAATTCACCACAGGCGCAGACCCCAGAGGACTGGAGCCTATTTTACAAAAGAACTTACGCTGGAGACCAAAAACTTCAATTGATTGTAAATTTATGCAAAATGTATGATTCTGTTTCAAATCACTAGTGATAAAAATATCTTTTAATATTCACATTCTTTTTAAAAACATTAAATTCATTCTCAAATGAAATGATAAATAATTATTATCGTCTCGTATCCTGTTTTCGACCGTATTGTATTTTCGACCTATTTTTCCCAATCTGCTTCCCGTGCAGATTCCGCGTGGTAGAACATTATTTTCGGTTGCTACTTGGAAAAATACTTTTGAAGCACAACTGTAGTGAAAATATCCAAAATAATTAATTCAACGGAATTCCCCCGATGGTTTTAGACAGATGTCAGAAATTCTAGTCTTTTTACTAATGCACATTTTATCTGTTGATTAATTAAAGTCGTAATCGGTTAATTACAAAGATTTTTTGGTGACACTTTTCCGAAAGAAAATAAAGATCTCTGTCAAAGAGACGCATGAATATTGAAATGAATGGGTGGATCAAACAATTTTTTTTTCTTCCTTAAATATGAGCACTACCTTACAGATTTTTACTGAAAAATGCAACGTAATTTCATTGATTTTTTTGGAAATGCACAGCTACTCACAGGTGGGTTCAATCAACGAATAAATGTATTTGCAACTAAAATATGCAACTTGTTCAATGTTTTTTTGAAAGGCAGACAATCATAATTTTATTGTTTGGAATATCCTGTGGATATTTATAGCCAATACTGATTGGGCGTTGATACTATATTTAGGTCGAAAACACAAGACGCTCATATTTTTGTAAGGAAAACTGTACCCTCTCCATATTATGGCATATAAATAAAATAAACACAAAATTGCAATTTGGGTTATATCATTTTATTTATAGACACATATGCTAACATTTTAAGTCCATATTTTTTCAGATTCTATAAAGTATGCAATAAATTAATAAATAACATCTAAATAGGTCGAAAATACAATACGCCAGGATATAGCTACATGTATAAACAGACCTAAATTTTGGTCTTAGTTGTGAGTTCTTTTGTAAAACGGGCCATAATGGCCTTAAATAATGCTTTTACATGCTGAGCCAGTACAATCACTGACTGTATATTTTAGGGATGTCAACGAATAGTCGACTATTAATTTCGACTATAAGTCGAATGGACCGACAATCGAATAATGAAACGACATTCAATTATTCAAAATTGAAAAAGCGTCCTACCTCAAACTATATAGTGTACGTCCACAGTCACAGAATATAAATAATTTTCCACATTGTACATATGGAAAGCACAGTAATTACATACCGCAATATTAATAATTAATTCTCAATTACTGACCTTTTTAGGTCACCGAGTAAACTCAGGTGACCTATTGCTATCCGTTTTCGTCCGTCGTCGTCCGTCGTTTGTCGTCCGTCGTTTGTCGTCCGTCGTGTGTTAACATTTGAACATTTTCAGCTTCTTCTCTGCAACCATTGAACCAATTTCAACCAAATTTGGCACAAAGCATCTATGGGTGAAGGGGAACAAAAATTGTGAATTTCATGGCCCCTGTCCCCCTGGGGCCTAAGGTGTGGGGCCGAAACCACTAAAATTAATGCAATCTTTTAAAATCTTCTTCTTTACTCCTGAGCATCAAGCAGTCAAACTGTTGCATTATTGTAATCAGCATTGAGTCCTTTACCAAAATTGTGAAATTCATGGCCCCAGGGTCAGGGGTTCTAGTGCTAGGGCGGGGATAAATAAGTATATAGTGAAAATGCATTATTTCTTTGGAAATCTTCTTCTCTACTCCTGGGTATTAAATAAACCAACTAAGTACATAGTTATGATGAGCATGAGTGCCTCTACCAAAATTGTGAATTTTATGGCCCCAGGGTCAGGGGTTCTGGTGTTGGGCGGGGCTCTATTAATTATATATAGTGAAAATACATGATTTCTTTGAAAATCTTCTTCTCTGCCCCTGGGTATTAAATATACTAACTAAGTGCATAGTTATGATGAGCATGAGTGCTTCTACCAAAATTGTGAATTTTATGGCCCCTGGGTCAGCAGTTCTGGTGTTAGGGCGGGGCTCTATTGATTATATATAGTGAAAATACATGATTTCTTTGAAAATCTTTTTCTCTGCCCATGGGTATTAAATATATTCACTAAGTGCATAGTTATGATGAGCATGAGTGCCTCTACCAAAATTGTGAATTTTATGGCCCCAGGGTCAAGGGTTCTGGTGTTGGGGGGTTGTGTTGTGCTCTATTGATTATATAGTGAAAATACATGATTTCTTTGAAAATCTTTTACTTTGCTTTTAGGTATTAAATAAACCTACTAAGTGCATAGTTATGATGAGCAAGAGTGCCTCTACCAAAATTGTGAATTTTATGGTCCCAGGGTCAGGGTTTCTGGTGTGAGGGCAGGGCTCTATTGATTATACATTGAAAATACATGAATTCTTTGAAAATCTTCTTCTCTGCTCCTAGGAATTAAATAAACTAAGTACATGGTTATGATGAACAAGAATGTCTCTTTTAAAATTATGAATTTTATGACCCTAGGGTCAGGGGTTCTGGTGTTAGGGGGGTGGGGCTCAATTAATTATATAATGAAAATACATTAAATCTTTGAATTTTTTTTTTCTTTGTCTCTGGGTATAAAGCAGATGAACTACCTTTATAGTTATGATGAGAAAGGGCCGTATTCTTGCAGAAATGTGAATTTCAAAGCCCCACTGTCAGGGGTGGGGTGGGGGCTCTACTTATGTACTGAAAATGTATTTATTGTTTGAAATCTGCTCTTTTGTATTTATAAAACATTTAATTTTTGATATTAAGGGTGCCTTTTTGAAATTTGTGCAATGTGTGGACCTAGGGTCAGGGGTTTATGTCACAGTGTTAGGGGCACTACTGGTTAGTTGGAATGCATTTTTGTTCCCCTACCCTGCATATGGATATTCAGTAACCAAGCTAAGCAACTGCTAAGTGTATTGTTATGATGATCAATGGTGCCTCTTTCAAAATTGTGAATGTCATATAGCATCTGGCTTAAAACATGAATCAAATTCAATAACTGGAAAATTGTTGCATAATGCTCAGGTGACCTATAAGGCCCGTGGGCCTCTTGTTGTTATTAAAATACAATAATAATCTTCCTTAAAAGACATCTTGATTGCTGGGGCAATCATTATTGGAATAAGCATGCAGTATTTTACAGTATCATCAGAGGTGTGGATAGTGTGAATTTACAATTCTCATTTCCAATTTATTTTAATTAATAAGCCTTCAAAACCACATGCTATCAAAAAATGCTCCGAATAGTCGACTATTGACTATCGTTCGAATAATTCAATCGAATGTTCGACTAAAGAAATTAAATATTTTGACATCCCTAGTATATTTAGCTATAAAGGATGAATTGTCTACTGCAGCTTTAATCTAGCAGTGAGGCATAGGTAAGTATGGTTTCTTCACATTGTGCAGAATTATTACTGTTACTGGAAATGAGAAAATGTATGGCCAGACCAGAAATTGACCCCGGGAGTCGGGACCCCTACTTTGCCAGGCAGGTACTCTACTTAGTACTTACTGATATACCAGAGTTGATACCCACTAGCTAATTCAGTAGCATTTCTCCCTCCTCAAAATGTCTTTTCTCTTCAAGACACAATCCAAGTTATTATTTGCCCCTGATAGTACTTTCACCTGCAAGTATGGGTGGTCAGTGACACTGATTCTGTAATAGGAAATCAATCATTTATTACAGCCGTATATGCATGTACAGATGTTCTGCTTATTCATGAGAGAGAGTTGTATTTTTTTTTTTTACAGAAATTGAAGAAAAAATCAGTGAAGAACTGGAGCTGTGAGGAAGTGAAGGATTGGCTTGTTGGTGAAGGTTTTACCCAGTATTCCAAAACTCTCTGTGATACCCACAAAATAGATGGCCAAGTCCTGCTGTCCTTAACAGAAAATGATCTCAAACAACCTCCACTGCAGTTGTCCGTTCTGGGGGATATCAAACGGCTAATGATTCGTATTAATACTCTCCATGCCAGGACTCCTGCATCAGAGAACGAATTGTCTTCCTGTAATGACAATTCCAGTGAAGACGATGTGTTCACAGGAACTCAGGATTTTATAACTCAGAAAAAGAATGTGCATCTTTCTCAATATTTAGATTCTGAGATCTTGAAAACTGTTCTAAGCTTTGTATATGTATTTACTGTGTTTTTGTTCACTTCTTTTGTAATGGTGATTGTCCACGAACGTGTGCCTGATGTAGAGAAATATCCACCACTGCCTGATATTTTTCTGGATAATGTGCCATTCATACCTTGGGCATTTCAAGCTACAGAAATAATTGGTATGGCTTTAGGTGCCACATGGTTCACAATCCTCTTCTTTCATAAGCACAGGTGAATTAATAGTATATATATACATTATGTGTCTACCAATTATTCTGATTTTCTTAATCGAACAACTATGTTTAAATCTAAAACAGTTTTGAAAAGTGGGTAGATTGTACATTCTTCAAATCCACAAGCAGAAGTTTGAGTGTTAATGCTTCAAATATGATGATTGTCTTAGAATATATGTCAGTATTTTACATGATAGTTTATATTTATGATTTAAATTTGATGAATGACAACTACATGCTTCATCTTAGATTCATCTTAATGAGAAGAATGTTTTCGTTGCTGGGAACACTTTTCCTGCTACGCAGTGTCTGCATGCTTATAACCTCACTTTCTGTACCGAGTAAACATTTAGCTTGTGAGAAAAAGGTAAGAGCTTTTGTGGAAGAAATGTTTTATGAACTCTAGTCCTCCAAATAAATTTATGTATTTTTTTTTTAAAAAAAGTCTAGCAGAAAGAGAGAAAATTTAGACCAAAATAAAAATAATCTTTGCCCTTTTTCTGATCGAGTCTTTTAGCAAGAAGTAGGCAGGTACTAGGAAAAATATTTCATGTTTGTTTTTGTTTTTTTCAACCGAAAATTCAGATACTCAGTAAACATGTATCTCTTTATGCAGAATTAAGTTTTATCATCACTATAAAGCAAAACATGTTCTGTAACTAGCCAAATGACCACATGTAATCTGTTGAAAACTGACTGATAAAATAAACGAAGTTAAAAAAATGTCAGTGAAAAGAGTGATAAAATATTTTGAGAAGGGCTAATTTTGTTTGTAATCTAAGAATATAAAAATATCTTAATTTAGGCTTTACTCAATCTTTCAGTCCTATGGAGACATGAGGGCCAAGTTAGGGAGGGCGTTTGAGATTTGGTCTGGCCTGGGGATGACCTCTACTGGAGTACGGACCTGTGGGGATTACATGTTTAGTGGACATACAGTTGTCCTTACCATGCTCAACTTTTTCATCACAGAGTGTAAGTGGCACTATATAAAGATTTAATACAGAGATGGATGGTATATTGAAGAAAATTACTCATGAAGTTCTTTTCAGAGAAAATGTGTTTCAAAAACATATTAAATAGACAATAAAGTATATCATGTTTTCAATATCATTACGTAACAGTGTAAGTCACCTAATACAGACATTGTTGGAAACCCATGGTTGGTTCCGGCTCTCTTACGTCACAAGGTAAGAGAAGGGAGACCAACCATGGGTTTCCCACAATGGATACAGGGTATGACAATCCACTAGGGGTGTGATTTTTTTTTCACCGTATACATTTCTTTGGTTGTTTTACAGACACTCCAAGAAAGCTGTACTACCTGCATACCTGTAGCTGGATGGCCAATATGTTTGGGGTGTTTCTGATCCTAGCAGCTCATGAACACTACTCCATTGATGTATTTGTAGCCTTCTACCTCACCTCCAGACTGTTCCTGTATTACCACACGCTGGCAAACAATCGCTCGCTCATGGAACGCGACAAGGGAAGAAGACGATTTTGGTTCCCACTCTTTTCATTCTTTGAGTCCAAATGCGATGGAGTGGTTCCAAATGAATATGAATGGCCAATTCCTAGATTAATAGAAAATGTGAAGAGTATATTTGGCACTGCTACTCCGCTGAAACCAAAACGAAAATGATTTAGTGCAGAAATACTTTATAGGTGTTGTTTTCCATGTTTTCCTATGAAAAGTGTGTGAATTTGTTTTATTGGTTGTACTTGCAAAGGATTTGTAATGATTATAATTTTGTGTGCCAGTAAATAAGATGTTTGACAATTAGATAGATACAAGATGAGAATGTTTTTAATGAAAGTGTTCATGTAAAAATTGTGGCTAGTGCTTTCAATGTTCCTAAAGATTATTTTGTACCGTATATAAAATACTGACCATGTTTTCAAAATGTTGATGGGTATTGGATTTATGTTTTGCCATCCATAGTTTACTTGAGTGCAAGTATATATTTTGAAGTGCCATATATCTGTTTAATGATAATACCTAAGTGCTTAAGAGTTTGTGATACAAAAATGTTTTATTTTAATTGTAAATCGGAGTAAAAGACTCCATAGTTTTTTTTCTTATTTAAGGAAATTTTGTTTGCCATAGCAGTTTTAGGCCAGGTTGCCAAGAATATTTCTTTTGGTTGTAGAACTTGTTTTGTCTTTTGGATTTCATGTTTACAATATTCTGCAACTTTTTAAAAGAAAAGAAGGCTTTCCTTATAAATAAAGACCCAAAGATATGCACTGTAAAACTGGTTAACAAAGGAATGTTTACTCAGTTTAATGCACAAATTAAAAATGAGCATACATGTATGTTTCCCATTCATTCATTCTTTGAATGTACATATAAGTGCAAATTCTAAATACACATATATAAGTTTGTTAAACACGAAATAACACCTAGCAATTAAATCTTTAATTTGAACATATATTTTACCCAATATTTTTTCACTGTGCTTCCACTGAATATTTTTTCCTTCTTTATCTATAAACTATACTTCTAATGTTTGTGTATGTATATTCAGGTTCATTATTTTTAAGTCATATGAAACTCAAAATATGGAAAATGTTTCAAAGGTCAACTAGCTATTTCAAAGCTCTCCCATTTATGTCATATATAAACTGATAACTCAGTATTTCAGATTATTCCATTAGTATACATCTAGTTTATCTTATTATAATGTTTACAAGTTAGAAACATTTTTTTTTCTAAATTTCTTGCAAAACAGCTTTCTTTGCAAAATTGTAATCTTGCTATATTTTTTCTTCGTTAAACCTTCAGAGCACTGAAAGCTCCAACTGTTGAAAATATTTTTGTTGATTTGTTTATTCATACAAATTAAGGGAAGAAAAAACAAAGACTATTGAATCTTTGCTGCAGTTCAAATGAAAACTTTTGTTTATAAAGCTTGTGATAATTTTTTTTATACAAAATGTCTATTGATAGATATGAACAATTATGGCAGGAAATTTACTTTTTAATATAGGCACTGCTTTCTTGGCTGTTATTGGTGATATTGTATGCATTTATCTACCTTACTATATTTTTTAAATAAATATTGATATTAACCTATATTTGTGCATTGTGCTAAATAAAGTACTGAAGATTTGAAGAGAAACAAAAAGGATTTTAAAAATTTCAGATAGTTTGTGTAGTACAGTAATTATATTACATATGTGCTTTAGTAGAAACTGTTCTTGTCTTCAAAGAAAGGCTCCACATTTCAATTTATATTCTAAAACGTATTTCAATCTTGTTCAGACTGTTGTATAACTTTAATTGTTAGTGTGAATATATGTTTGTCAATTTCACACTAGAACTCCACACAAACTTTAAAGTTCAATTTCTTTTCATTTTTTTTTTTGGAATTGCTTACATTTACGAGATTGTTTTCAAGTGTAGGCAACAATTTTTACCTTTAATATTGAGATTTTACAAGGAATAGTACAAATATTTGTTTAGGTTTTGAACGGTAGAATTTTTTTCTTGTATTTGAAGATACCTGGTTTATACGTGTATTATTAGGACATTCCATAGTGTAAGGCTAGATTTCAGATTAAGATAAAAGGAAGAAGTTTAATCATAAGCTTGTTTGCATGGTAGTGACATGAAAAAATAAAGGTAGCAATACTGTCAAATTGATAGGCAACCATTTTCTGAGGGTCTAATAATAAGGGACTGAGAGTATACCTGTTATTTCTTGTCAAAAATGAAAAGAAAAAAATCACTCAAAAATCCATTTAATTCCTACCAACTTCCAAGCTTTAAAAAAGTGAAAATGTAGAATACATATACAATTTTTTTGTGGGAGATTTCAGAGTTTTTGTCTTCTCCATATTTTTCTTTGAAAAATTGAAAATAATAGGGAGTCTGGACCGTCCATTCCATTTTTTTAATACTGGAAATGGCATCTACTCATTTGATGCTGTTTGATGTACGCTCCATCAGTCAAGATCTTATTATACCCCATGCAACAAGTTGTGGGATGTATAATGTTTTCGAGTCCTATTTTTTTTCAGCGCAAATCCTCATAAACCGCTGCACAGAATTTTGTCAGACTTTGCAGACATTTAGGACACGATATGTAGAAGTGCATCAGGAAATTCGATTCCTTATTTTTTCGGGATTTTCGACATTTTGAGTTTTGGGGGAGCGTGGGGTATGTGAGCTTGCTCCCTTTTTCTTTCATTATATCTGATATGATAAAAAATTATTAATAAGTATCCACCAAAAAAGTTTGGGAATTTAAATTCTCTCACAGTGATGTGAAAGTTTACTCTTTTTGTCAGTTTTGAGAATCTCTGGTCGTAACTTGGACGACCTAAAAGTAGTACGGAAAAAAGGGGGAGGGTATAATACACCAAGTTAAAATGTTTCCCTTTGAACATGTGTTAAGTAATGTCTACAAGAATGGAAATATGATTATGAAGCAAACAAGCTTGAAAAATATTTTTGTTCGTCTACTCATCCCAAAACCAAACATTTTTGTGCAAAGTTAAATAACTTGGGCAAACTTTATTAAATACCGATCGAGACCTCTGGGGACAATGAAGAGGGAAAGAGAGATTCATTACAAAATTCAGCCTATCTTGTGCATGAATTCAAATTAATTTTTCATGAATATACGACTAGTACCATGCTTAATAGTTTGTACATTAATTTAAATCCAATTAATTCTCGCATAAAAATACATCATATAGTTGTGGTGAAATTCGGTTTACCTGTTGAACGCAAGGCGGGCAATATTCTGCAGGGAAGTAAAAAAAAAAAAAAAGTCAACTCGATTTCTACATTTGTATTACTATAATCATTTATTGATCAAAGTGATCAATTTTCTTGTGTATTATGAAATATTTTAGGAACTTATTTGCACAAGACGCATCAAAGATCGTGATGGTAAGAAGAATGGACGCGTTTCGTAAGAATTAACCGCGGTGGATACACCCTAACTCTATTTAAAGGACTGCTATTTAAGACGAATTCTCAAAGCCCAATAAGGGTGCCGACCAAGTCACACGTGAGAATCAGGGGACCGTGAAGTTTCTGTCAACCTTCGAGCTCAATAACCTAAACCAAAATCCACGTGGGGTGTGGCACCGCTGCTGTTTAGAAGAGGAGCTAGAACGCTTTGGGCCGCGGGGAAACAACGAGTTTGGGGTCCAGCGCTGCAGTTCGCAATCTGAGGGGGGTCCAGTAGTGACGATCATTTGTAGATTTAATTAATATATTCAGTGGTTATGATTCTTGGACAAGTGTGACTTATAAACACGATGGAATTGGGACAGTTTTATAGTTTTCTATGGATTTTAATATTGGTCACATTGACAGCATCCCAGGTGAGTTTTACCTGAAAAATCAATCATGGATATTGATGATCGCAATCATTTGCAAACACACTCGGCAAACGAGAAGGTGTTTTGTGCGTGTGTTGTGTAGATTAATCAAAAGTTCATATATAATTAATGCATACATTTGTCTTCACGCACTGTTGATATTTAGAAGTCAGAAGTTAAAATAGAAGCGTCATCCGTTAATATAAAACCTTTCATTAAGTGACAATGTCCACTTTATTTCATCGTCGTGTTTTATTTTGGGTAAAAAGGTCATGACTGCTGGCTCATTGTAATTCTCTGGAATTTAAAAGCCAAACATTTGAATATGAATAGAAGACCATTGGTTTGGAACACTATTTTTGGGGCGCTGTCTTGTTCCTGTGCAATATTGGGTGCGGTTTCAATTTCTACGAAATAATCTGAAAGGGGGAATGATGAACATGGTTAACATTTTAATAATAAAACTTTCATCATAAAATCCTTTTTAAAAAAAATGAAAAAAAAGCAAAAAAGAATTATTTACAAAAAAATATATATATACTTTAATTTTACAATTTATCTTTTGAATTATTGAAATGCATACCAGGTGATGAAGTGGATTTAAAAAATTAAATAATGAAAAAAAAGACATGAATTGTAAAATTCATTGAAAATTTAAGGATTAGGGATGGGTGTGGGGGTTCATATATGTAGTTGTATCATGTTTTTTTTTTTTAAATATATAAACTTCTACAATATATTTGTTAACACAATTATAGTTATGTTAGAGATTTTCTCATGTAGGATTGCTCTATTATGATAAGCCTTGCTACAAGGAAATAAAAGCACATAATTGGTTATATCACAATACAGGACTGGCTGTTTTTTTCATTGAAACTTGAACAATTGCCCATTTTATTTCCTAAATTTCTAAAACCTGAATGAAAAGGGTGCAATATAATTGTATTGGTTTGGAATGTTATGCTTTAATATCGGACAAAGATCAATTTTGAATACGAAGGTTAAAACTTTTTTATGATACTGAAGGGAAGGGTTTTATGAATTCAAACAAGTTTTATTTTTGGTCCTGACTCATTTACATGCATGGGTTTTCTTTATGCGTTTTTTTACACTTGAATGAGTCAAGATTATCAATAAATATGAAATAACTTTATTTATCAGAAATATTTAACTGTTTATACTTTACAATTTGGAGAATTTTTGGTGTAAAACATATAGGTGCAAGCCCTAGGGCCATAAAACTTATTAGACGAGCTCACTTTTGATCACAATCTGGTTCACCCTCAATCTCACTTTTGCACTTTTGATTCCTTTGGTCAAAGTGAGACTGAGATTAAAAGTGAGCTCAACTAAGTTTTATGGCCCTGGAGCCAGATGATACAGATTTAGATGAATTTGAGTTCTGTTTGAAGACCTCACAGAGTGATGCTTGCTATATTTGATATTAATGGTGTATTTAAATGGAATTTAAATGACTATATGTCAATTTTATTATATGGATATTTTAATTATATTAAATGTACCAACTAAAACTTGAATGAATGTATCAAATTTTTCAAATTCAAAGTATCACTGAGTAATAATTGAAAAATTTAAAAAATATTGCTTGCATAAGTTTATGCCAGTGTTGTATAAAATACTGCTGAGTTTATCCAACCATGTAAGCAAAGTTCATTGTACTGAAAATTTTCCATCAAAATGAGACGCGTACACACCCAGACACATCAGGTTACAAAATCACAAGTCCTCTTTCTAGACATTTCCAACAATTTAAGTTTTCCCTTTGAGTTGCTTTATAGTCCTATAATTATGAACGTGCAATTTTCAGAAATAAAAAATCATGTTTTAGAACTGTTTTTGTATTGAATATATTTCTTATTCATGTCTTTTTTTTGTAGGGTACAACAATAACACATGTCTGTCCTGATGGTAAGTTGCGCTTACTGCATTCTTGTTTAAGAAAATTTTATTGTGGAATGATTGCTGTATGGAAAAGCTTTGATTTTCATTTCACTTTTTACAGCCTGTTCTCCAATAACTGGGTGGATTTTTAGAGGAAACTTTATTATATTATGGGAAGTAAAAGCACTATAAGTCTCTACTTTATATTATTTTTCAAAATGCAACAGCTAGGTGATACGGTAGTTTAAAAACTGATCTATGCACATTTAATTAATGCATAAAGTGAACTTCTACGGTCTTGTGATATGAAGCAGAAAATATATATCTCATAATCTTGTTTGCACAAGATTCATTCTTCACTTACTATGTACAAAGATATAAATTCAAAACTAGCAATACATGTTCATGCCTTGACAAATGTGGTCTTCCTTCAATTAATTGTAATATAAATCCAATGTCCATATAGAATTAATATATGCAGATCTCAAAATTTTTATATAGTCCAACAGCTAGCTACTAGACTAGTCCATATCATGCACCACAGCTTCAAAGTTTTTGTGGACTTAATTCTGTAACATAGAAAAATCTATAATTTTTGGTATTTCTTATTTTTTAGGATGGGTTTTATCTAATATAATGTGCTATAAATTATATGGAACATCATCTGTAACAAAATCAACATGGGACCTAGCGTATCGTGAGTGCAAGGGGTAAGTTGACTACTACATCATCATAAAAAATGTAGCCACATTGTCTAATTACCTGGTATCATAAGTATCAATAAAAAGGACCTACTGTTATCACTACAAAGCTAATGATTCATTTTCAGAAATGATTAATCTTGTCTGCTTCAATCCTTACATAAATTTCAGAACGTTAGATACAAAATGTCCATAATTTATTATTACAAAAAAAAATTTAGCAATCATTATGGTACTAAAAAGCAGAGCATCTCCTCACAAAAAGCGTAATTATAAATCAAGACAGCATTCGACATTGATCCTGATGCAAATGTTGTCACTCCCGTTTTGCATAACAAATGCACACACGAGTGCATTACTGTATTCCCTTCACATTCTTTGCAACGGATTTAAAAAAAAAAGAAAAATTGGATCTGTGGATTAATGAAACCTTTACTAGATTTGACCATTTCAGTTGGCTAGTTTGGTCATCAATGCCAAATGCTCCATTGCCATCTTATCCATCTTCCTCTTATAAGCTCTCTAGTAATTCTAACTCTGTTTAGGTGTCTTTATTTAATGGTATTTTAGCTGATGTATTTAAATGAGTGAGGATATGTAATTCAAAACCATCCAAAACATTCAAATGGTCAAATTTCATTGAAGTTTTATTGTTAAGACTGACATGACACCTGTAGAAAAATTATTTTATACCTGTATAAATGAAATCCACACCTATATCATCTTAAAAATCACTTGACACTGTGTTCATAAGAGCACATGCTTTTTAAGTCACAAATGTAGAATAAATATTACTAATACCATTGTAAAATCTACCATGTACATGTATATTCTTATTCAAAATTTGGTATTAATAGTTTTCTTTTGATATTAATTGATTAATGTGAGGTATACAGTTACAATACACCTGTGAAGTTTAATATATTCGTAAGTTAATGGTAGAATTTCTTTACTCTTTTACATTGCAGTAATGGAGCTGAGTTAGTAACTATTGATGATTATTTCACCAATCTGAATGTTGGCGACTTTGCTTCACAGAGGAATGTCAACATGTTTTGGACGGGTAAGTACAAACTGTCCGGGTAAACCACTGTTAACCAAGCACATAAAGTTCTACACCCGAGGCACTGCTATATACCCGAATGTTTTGTGAATGTCACTTTCACTTTTAATGGAAGCGTCTACTAATGCTGTCGATTAATGGGTGAGGTGACTGGAAGATTACAGAAAATAAAATACTGCCTGGGGTGTTAGTTCTTCTTTCCTTGTGTCAATGGCCTTGTCACCAAATAAAAAAAATAATTGATTATTAAGTTACCAGATAAAGTGAACTCCTTAAATTAGCTTTTTTTGTATTTTCATAAAAGCCTGAACTTTTAATACTCAGACATTGGGCTTTAATTAACTTATTATGTGAAAACTTTAGTTTTTTTTTTTTTTTGCTGTGAAAAAGAATTTTAAAAATATGTTACATATCTGCATAGACTGTTGCCCATTTATGGCTTTTTCCCACATGGAAATTTTTTGTTGTTGAATTGTATCAACAATTTTATGAAGCTGATGTTGCCTTAAGCTTTTTTCATTGCTGTTGTTCAAACTTAGATTTTTAATGAGAGTTTACATTCACATTTGAAATTTTTCACATACATCTGCAGAGATCAAATGATCACAGACAAGGAAAAATGAGACGTTTAAATAAAACCTTAATCCTGTAAGATTCATTATTCATGTATTCAGTATGTTATATAATCTTTGATTGATTGACTTCTAGCAGAAAATAAAATATTTTGTTTTAAACAGGTTTCTTGATGAAGTAATTGTATCTTGAAGCATGAAATCATCTAAGGAGGCCTCAAGTTAAAGTGTTTGGCAAATAGTAAAAACTGGGATAGAATGTCCCTTATTTTGATCTATTAATTGTTTTGTCTGCGTATTTTGAAATTGAGAAAGATGAGTTGGATTGGAAGGTTAAGGACATACGCAAGGGACCTTACCTACTGATAATTTTTCAAGATATTCTAAATTTAAACATGATACCATTACATTTTCTTAGACAAAAAATCAGCATGCGTTACCAAGGGGTTTTAAAAAGATATAAAATTTTGAAAATTTCTGCATTATTCAAAGAAAAATGTACGAAACATAAATTCCAGATTTTTTTTTCATTAAAAATTGTTTTAGAAGAGGTGTATAAATCCACATATGGACATTAAAAATATTGCCCACAGGTCCTTCATTTAGTGGAATTCTTCAACTCCAAGGAAGAACCCAATAAGGTTCAAACTACGTTGCCTATTACCTTAAACTTTATAGTTGAAGGTTGATTTGAGGCTTACATGTATTTCTTGCAGGAGGGGGGAGGGTATTTTGCTATGCACCTAAAAAATACTAGTACTTGACCCTGTTCTTGTGCAAAACTCTTGCAAAATACATTGTTTATGCATTGTTTTTATTAAATTAAGTTTTAAGTTACGCTCTAACAACTTGCACAGTGACTTCAATGATGCATTTTAATTTTTTTTTTCCTGCAGAAAGCTACTTCCCACTAATCAAAAAAAAACTGCAAAATGTCTTGCACATGCATATTTATAGATAAATAAGAACATTAAGAAATGTTCTAAATCAAATCTTCTTGTTCAAAAATTCAATTTCTGCCAAATATTGTACATGCTAGATATGATACATTCACAGTATTCATGACGAAACTGTATTTTGAATTAAATTATACATAAAAAAAAATCAATTAAAAGCAAAATTTCTTTCAAAGGAATGAGTGAGAAGGGTGTGAATACCCAGAATGGCATTGATACAACGTGGAACATGCTCACAGCGGCATCAATTTACCAGGGTCGCTGGTCAGTCAGAAATCCAGATACTAGTCACGGAGACTGTGTATATATAGAGAAAAAGGATGGAAAATATCAGTGGACCATGGGAAACTGTCGGATGAAGATGGCATTTGTGTGTCAGAGAACTCCATGTTTACCAGGTGAAGTTATTTGCTCGCAGCTACTTTTTTTTGTCGTCGATTATCTGATAGATGTCATACTGACTTTCAAGAAGTCATTATGTTCTGAATCATGCAAATGAACTATAATTACGCTTCCCATCCTATCAAATGTTACAATAAAAAAGAAACCATTCTTGTGTATTCAAATATTCAAGTCAGGTACCTGTTGAAAGAAATGAGAATCTTTAATTTCATGCTGAGTCTGTCATTAAAATTGTTTCTTTTATGTTTGTACTTTTATCAAGATGCTGCTGTAAAATGCTCTGTTGACTTTTTTTTGTTAAAACCTGCATTTCAATAAACAATATGCAATGCTGTGTTACAGATTTAAATTGTACACATATCTGATAAAGAATAAGAATTTCTTTGGTCACCTGAGTTGGTAATAAAGTTTCATGTACATGTATACACTATGTGTAAGAAAGAGAGGGGAGGGAGAAAAAATGGAGAGAGAGAGAGAGAGGAGGTGAGGGGTGCAGTGAGAGAAAGGGAAGAGGGGTGCAGTGAGAGAAAGGAGGGAAGAGGGGTGCAGTGAGAGAGAGAGAGAGAATTTCAAGTCAATTGTCAAAAATAAATCTCAGAATAAACCCAATTAATGTCCTATTTAAATATTTATTACTTTGAGCAAATTAAGACTAATATACATGTACCTACAAATGAATTGTTTTGTTTATTTTATTATATCTAGGTTCAGTTGTAGTTCGACTCTTCACGTAAAACATTTCTGTTTTGTGATTACAGGGAGCTTTCACTGTGACAATGGACGATGTGTTAACAATAATTGGCGCTGTGATGGCGTTGATGATTGTGGGGATTTCTCTGACGAAGTCAACTGCCCAAATAGATGTAGTTTTATGTACAACCAAGCCGTGGGTCGAATCCAATCTCCAAATTATCCCCAAAACTACCAAGCTTCCCAAGTATGCACTTGGACAATTATTGGGCCAGAGGGATCTAATATTTATTTACAGGTAAGAACACTTTTTGCTTTCATTTTAGTTTGAAATTTGAGCTGATTTTTAACATGTGATCCAAATGGGGGTAGAAAATTGAAGCCTGTGGCTTATACCAATGCTTTGTTGAAAACATGAAGAGGGATAGATTCTTTTTTGCCTCAAATAAAACTCATGCGAACTTTAATAATCTAATAATGGATACATGGTAATTATAATAAAATACACATGAATGTACTTGTGCCTGTCCAATGTTCAGTGATAGCAAGAAATAACTGGAATTTGCAAATTCACATTTTAATTGGTTTTACACATGCACTTCAACTTGTATAGTTAATATATAAAACAAGTATAAATGCTGGTTTTTATAGTCTGTTGAAGACCTTCCTTAACTCCAATAATTGTATGTAATTAAGCAAGAAAATTTTAAAAACCCAAATGATCAATTAGTGGAATTTGAAGACATTGTATTAAAAAAAAAAAACAAAAAAAAAAATCTTTCAAAAAAGGGGATATTTAAAGTGCTTATGAATGTCAAAAAAATTCTTTATTATTCCTTATGTGGAAATACAGATTTTTTAATCAATTACTCGTCAGTTTATTGATTATTAGTTGCTATCCTTTCATGTTACTCAAATTTTACTTCAAAGATAAAATTTTAGTGTATAACCTCTAGAAAATTTGGTAAATATTTTGATTAAACATACTGAAAGAAAATTTTGCGTACCATTTATCTCCAGGTAATTTCAAGACAAACCTATTGCAATCAAACTTTTAATTCTGCATCTTAAAAGGATGCATTAGAAGTCTAAAGGGTCTCCACAAGTACATGTACTAAATTTTGACCTTTAACCTCTTTCAAAGTTCACATCATTCAATACTGAGAAAGACACAGACATCGTAGAAATCCTGATTGGTGGGCGGACAGAATCTACAGCCCAGTCTATTGCCCGCTTGTCCGGACAGCCTAGCTTGCCCACAGTCCGATACAGGAGCCACAATAATTACATGATCATCCGATTCTCCACTGACTCCGCCACACAAAGAATGGGCTTTGCTGCAAACTTCAGTAGTTGTGAGTGTTGAATACATGTATTCATGTTGATAGATATATCAGCAATTTCTTCTTAGTTCTTTTTTTTATCTGACTTAAACTATTTCAATAGAACATAAAACAAACATAAATGGTATGTTTAAAGGCAGAGATTTTAAGCACCGCCTTCAAAAATACCTGGTCTGGGTAGCCCTGTCAATCAAGTATGTGAAGGTCCATCATTGGATGCTGGAACTTGATTGACAGTTACTTACTGGTCCCTGTGTATACCCTGTACACCTTGAATTGGACTTGTTGTGACCATCTAATTAACTTTTGATCCTTTGATTTTACTGAACATATATACAGAATTACTGTGATTTTTTTTTTTTTAGATTGATAATTTATGAATTAAATATACCTTTAGTATTTGAAAGGATAATAATATGATATGTATTTTTAAAACAAAAAATTAACTTTTGGTACATAAAACTTTTTTTTTCAAATGAAATTTCCATTTTATTTTTAATATGTTAAATGGTATAATTTTAAAGTGGAAATGTTATTAATAAAGTTCAGAGCAGCACTGTGTGAAGTAATAAAATTTTAAAAAAATGTTTCTAATCATGGCTAACTTGCGTTTTCCCTTTTGATTCTGATAAGAATTTACAAGTAATCTTTTTTACCATGTTTCATGGTGACAAAGTCATGATAGACCTACATGTCTGCAGTGCATAACTTTTTTGTGAAATGTAGATCACACAGCTCTCTTTCATTAAATAAATAGATGGGATCCGGGGGATGAATGAATTATTAGTCTAATTTGGTTGTTACAAGAGTTGTTTTCTTTAAATTAACACGTACAATAACATCTTAAACAGTTTTGGTTTTAATATTTGAATTCATAGTATGATATCATAATATTTTTTTTTAAATAAGTAGGGGCGTTTTCAAACAATCAAAAACAAATCAATATATAATTGAAAAAAACTTTTTACTACTAATTTTAAAATTGTTTCAAAATCCCCAACACAGGTAAAGTTTGACATCTGAGTATTTCACCGTGTATTAAATCACTTCCTGTGTATATGGATTAGGAGACAAACTACCACAGGTAGACTGCTAGCCCCCAAGGCATTCACAACTGTACAAAATAAGCCCCTCCCTCACCTGGAGAGAGGTAAAAAATCTCTGCCTTTAAAGGCAGAGATTTTAAGCACCGCCTTCAAAAATACCTGGTCTGGGTAGCCCTGTCAGAGAAGAGAGTGAAGGTCCATCATTGGATGCTGGAACTTGATTGACAGTTGCTTACTGGTCTCTGTGTATACCCTGTACACCTTGAATTGGACTTGTTGTGACCATCTAATTAACTTTTGATCCTTTGATTTTACTGAACATGGTATACAGAATTACTGTGATTTTTTTTTTTAGATTGATAATTTATGAATTAAATATACCTTTAGTATTTGAAAGGATAATAATATGATATGTATTTTTAAAACAAAAAATTAACTTTTGGTACATAAAACTTTTTTTTTCAAATGAAATTTCCATTTTATTTTTAATATGTTAAATGGTATAATTTTAAAGTGGAAATGTTATTAATAAAGTTCAGAGCAGCACTGTGTGAAGTAATAAAATTTAAAAAAAAATGTTTCTAATCATGGCTAACTTGCGTTTTCCCTTTTGATTCTGATAAGAATTTACAAGTAATCTTTTTTACCATGTTTCATGGTGACAAAGTCATGATAGACCTACATGTCTGCAGTGCATAACTTTTTTGTGAAATGTAGATCACACAGCTCTCTTTCATTAAATAAATAGATGGGATCCGGGGGATGAATGAATTATTAGTCTAATTTGGTTGTTACAAGAGTTGTTTTCTTTAAATTAACACGTACAATAACATCTTAAACAGTTTTTGTTTTAATATTTGAATTCATAGTATGATATCATAATATTTTTTTTTTAAATAAGTAGGGGCGTTTTCAAACAATCAAAAACAAATCAATATATAATTGAAAAAAACTTTTTACTACTAATTTTAAAATTGTTTCAAAATCCCCAACACAGGTAAAGTTTGACATCTGAGTATTTCACCGTGTATTAAATCACTTCCTGTGTATAGGGATTAGGAGACAGATGACCACAGGTAGACTGCTAGCCCCCAAGGCATTCACACCTGTACAAAATAAGCCCCTCCCTCACCTGGAATTTACCACCCGGTAAAAAATCTCTGCCTTTAAGTCATTATCATCAGATTCCAGGAAAGATATACATGCTACTACCACGTAAAAAAAAAAGAGGTAAAAAATAAAAGAAAATATTGAAATGGAGAAATTTTAATCTTTAATTGTTAACTATTTTCAAGTGTTCATATTCCTTTAGTTTTTACTGGTAATTTGATGTCCATGGAACTTGAATACAAGTAAACCATGTTTTAGTCATTTTTAATCCCCCATTTCACATACATATTATTTGATCTTAGCTTTTTGTGTAATCTGCACTCCTTATATGAAAAATATGAAGTTTGTTTGTTTTGTAGCACAAGATGGCTATCAAGAACAAACATATTTGACTGGAAGAAATACAGAAGGTAGTCTGGAGCCCCCACTTTTTGGTTCTCATGGAAGCAATGCTTACCTGGGAAATCAAGATTATGTATGGATAATTAGAGCTGAGGAGCGCCGGAAAATAATTACACTTGAGGTACTGAAAAATGTGTATATTAAAGAAATCACAAATCCCCCTCCCCATCAAAAAATAGTTTCTCATTTAGCCAATTTACAGTAAAAATAAAAAACAATACACCCATACTTACTTTCTTATCTCTCTTTGAATTTTAGAGAATGAAAATAGATCTGATGGGTGATGATGCAATAGAAATTCGTGATGGGGACTCTGGAAGTGCCCCTCTTCTTGAGAAATACACTGCCAGTAACAATGACAATGTGGCCCTCCCTCTAAGTCAGTCTCAGCCAATCAAAGGAAAGAGATTTGTGTTCTCCACCAGTCATGTGATGTACATCATTTTTAGGACAGGCAGCACAACATCAGGGACCGGCTTCACATTTAGATATAAACAAGGTAAACATTATTGTACTGATTTAATTAAGCATATTCATGTATGAATAATAATAGTTCCTGCATAGAGTTGAATTTATATTTCTAGACTTTCGGAATTATTTTATCCTCACTGAAACACATGGGGAAAAACTGAGAAAGTTAAAAAAATTAACCTCCCCCCCCCCCAATAAAAACACTTCAGTTTTTAGCTCACCTGAGCCGAAGGCTCAAGTGAGCTTTTCTGATCACATTTTGTCCGGCGTCCGTCTGTCCGTCTGTCTGTCTGTCTGTCTGTCCGTCTGTCCATCTGTCCGTCTGTCTGTCTGTCTGTCTGTCTGTAAACTTTTCACATTTTCGACTTCTTCTCAAGAACCGCTGGGCCAATTTCAACCAAACTTGCCACAAAGCATCCTTAGGTGAAGGGGATTCAAGTTTGTTCAAATGGAGGGCCACGCCCTCATTCAAGGGGAGATAATTGGCAATTAATGAAAATTTGGTGGCATGTTTTAAAAATCTTCTTCTCAAGAACCACAGAGCCAGGAATGATGAAACTTATGGGGAATCATTCTCAGGTAGTGTAGATTCAAGTTTGTTCAAATCATGACCCCCGGGGGTAGGGCGGGGCCAAAATGGCCGACCAAAGTTTTACATAGAAATATATAGGAAAATTCTTTTAAAAATCTTCTTCTCAAGAATGACCAAGCCATAATTCATCATATTTATATGGAAGCATCCCCAGGTAGTGTAGATTCAAGTTTGTTCAAATCATGACCCCGGGGGTAGGGCGGGGCCAAAATGGCCGACCAAAGTTTTACATAGAAATATATAGGAAAATTCTTTAAAAATCTTCTTCTCAAGAATGACTAAGCCATAATTCATCATATTTATATGGAAGCATCCTCAGGTAGTGTAGATTCAAGTTTGTTCAAATCATGACCCCCGGGGGTAGGGCGGGGCCAAAATGGCCGACCAAAGTTTTACATAGAAATATATAGGAAAATTCTTTAAAAATCTTCTTCTCAAGAATGACCAAGCCATAATTCATCATATTTATATGGAAGCATCCTCAGGTAGTGTAGATTCAAGTTTGTTCAAATCATGACCCCCGGGGGTAGGGCGGGGCCAAAATGTCCAACCAAAGTTTTACATAGAAATATATAGGAAAATTCTTTAAAAATCTTCTTCTCAAGAATGACCAAGCCATAATTCATCATATTTATATGAAAGCATCCTCAGGTAGTGTAGATTCAAGTTTGTTCAAATCATGACCCCGGGGGGTAGGGCGGGGCCAAAATGGCTGACCAAAGTTTTACATAGAAATATATAGGAAAATTCTTTAAAAATCTTCTTCTCAAGAATGACCAAGCCATAATTCATCATATTTATATGGAAGCATCCTCAGGTAGTGTAGATTCAAGTTTGTTCAAATCATGACCCCCGGGGGTAGGGCGGGGCCAAAATGGCCGACCAAAGTTTTACATAGAAATATATAGGAAAATTCTTTTAAAAATCTTCTTCTCAAGAATGACCAAGCCATAATTCATCATATTTATATGGAAGCATCCCCAGGTAGTGTAGATTCAAGTTTGTTCAAATCATGACCCCGGGGGTAGGGCGGGGCCAAAATGGCTGACCAAAGTTTTACATAGAAATATATAGGAAAATTCTTTAAAAATCTTCTTCTCAAGAATGACCAAGCCATAATTCATCATATTTATATGGAAGCATCCTCAGGTAGTGTAGATTCAAGTTTGTTCAAATCATGACCCCCGGGGTAGGGCGGGGCCAAAATGGCCGACCAAAGTTTTACATAGAAATATATAGGAAAATTCTTTTAAAAATCTTCTTCTCAAGAATGACCAAGCCATAATTCATCATATTTATATGGAAGCATCCTCAGGTAGTGTAGATTCAAGTTTGTTCAAATCATGACCCCCGGGGGTAGGGCGGGGCCAAAATGGCCAACCAAAGTTTTACATAGAAATATATAGGAAAATTCTTTAAAAATCTTCTTCTCAAGAATGACCAAGCCATAATTCATCATATTTATATGAAAGCATCCTCAGGTAGTGTAGATTCAAGTTTGTTCAAATCATGACCCCGGGGGGTAGGGCGGGGCCAAAATGGCTGACCAAAGTTTTACATAGAAATATATAGGAAAATTCTTTAAAAATTTTCTTCTCAAGAATGACCAAGCCATAATTCATCATATTTATATGGAAGCATGCTCATGTAGTGTAGATTCAAATTTGTTCAAATCATGACACGGGGCCAAAATGGCCAACCAAAGTTTTACATAGAAATTTATAGGAGAATTCTTTAAAAATCTTCTTCTCAAGAATGACCAAGCCATAATTCATCATATTTATATGGAAGTATCCTCAGGTAGTGTAGATTCAAGTTTGTTCAAATCATGACCCCCGGGGGTAGGGCGGGGCCAAAATGGCCAACCAAAGTTTTACATAGAAATATATAGGAAAATTCTTTAAAAATCTTCTTCTCAAGAATGACCAAGCCATAATTCATCATATTTATATGGAAGCGTCCTCAGGTAGTGTAGATTCAAGTTTGTTCAAATCATGACCCCCGGGGGTAGGGCGGGGCCAAAATGGCCGACCAAAGTTTTACATAGAAATATATAGAAAAATTCTTTAAAAATCATCTTCTCAAAGATAGAAAATCCATGGTTGTTCATGGGACTACCTTTGGATTTTACCTTTTCAATAATAAATCAATTTATACTTTTACTAGCCACAGTGCTCAGGTGAGCGATGTGGCCCATGGGCCTCTTGTTTAGTTCCTAAATGTAAAAAAAAATGTACATTAAACAAAGCATGGTAAAGTCATTCCTTTAACTGTTTGACTGCTTATTACAGGGTGCAGTGCGAGATACACAGCTGATGCAGGAGAGATCACCAGTCCTGGATTTCCCAATGTTAACTATGCCAACTTCCAGACATGTACTTGGACCATAGATATACCCACTGGTAAAGGGGTTACTCTCTTGTTGGATAGAGATTCTGGATATGAAATTGAAGACAATGTCGATTTTCTACAGGTATAATATTATGTTGGGAAGTTAGTTTATCTTACTTTTGTCATCTCTGCAAGAGAGAAAAATGTCAATTTAGTTACTATTGAATGCAGTTTTCTTATAGAGTTTATCCTATTGTGAAATGATATTAATATAATTCTTCAAAGCAAATTGACTTCTAAAGAGAAATGCCAGCCCTAAATAGTGCAAGTTTTTCTTGTCAAATTTAAAGCAGAGTTACACTTAAGACTCTAGGTTCTAAAGGATGCACTGGTGTGGTACAATGTGGTCATTTTACCGTTTTTAGGGAATGATTTAAAAGACAGTACAGTTGTGATGTCTTATTGTCAATTTTAAATAGATCATGCTTTAATTGTTTCTTTCATAAGATTTACACAAACACCACTGATGAAACTGGAGCCGCAGCCCATGGGACAACTCAAGGATTTACAACTACTACACTAGGCAATGCCCAGACATTTCACAGTTCCAATGGGAAGATGTTCATCAGATTTAAATCCACTGCCATTATTAACAAAAAAGGATTCCGTTTTCTCTATTCCATAGGTAGGAACACAATTTATACCAATTGCAGTTGACTTTCATGCATTAGAAAAGTTTTTTTTTTACCGTAATTTCTGTTAGGAAGGAAAAGAATAAAAACACGTAATTTGAAAGATAAAGTTGTACATTCTGTATAGATTTTGGGAATTTTTAGCATATTTAAAATTGAAATTGACTAATTAATGCCTCTTATGAAAATTAAATTTGTTATTTCAGATTGTCCTGATCCTGGTTTAACAACTGCTTCTGTGTTGACCCCCACTCAGACACCCGAACAAACCAGACAGTTTGATAACGAGTTCACCGTCAGCTGCCAGAGTGGATACAGTTTTCTTGCTGATGAATTGAATTTATCTACTGCCAAAATGAAGTGCATGTATGGAGGAAAATGGTTGGTCGAGCAGAAGACTCGAACAATTCCTAAGTGTCAACGTAAGCATGAAACATTTGGTGGAGTGGATGGGAGCTAAATTTCATAAATGTCTCGTCTTTACTAGGTCACAAGTAACTGTGATCTCTATTGTTAATTGTTGTATGTATGCATAAATTTTTTGATAAGTTTTGAATTCAAACTTCTCACTCCTCTCTAATTCATATTCTCATTGCCACATCAAGAAGTGTCCTTTGGTAAAGGGTATGCAGTGAACTTGCTAGAACCAAAATCTGTGGCATTCTTTTGTAAAATCTTTTCAAATTTTGGCTCACATGGTTAGAATGGGACCTAACTGCTCAGTTACTGCTTCTGTAAAAGAAGTAATTATAGGGCTACAATTATTTGCCAGGAAGGGATAAGGGAGACCAAGTTGAGCTTTATGACCCCTAATCCTCTTGTTTTTATTTTAGCTGAATATTGTGGAGAACCTGTTGCTGTTGACAATGGTTACATCTCACAGTCCAATGGTGTTGTGTTTGGTTCCTATGTGACCTTCACCTGTTTCCCAGGATTCTCTCTGGTGTCTGGAGCAGCTAACATCACATGCCAGGCTGGTGGATCGTGGTCAGAAAGGCCAACATGTGGCTGTAAGTCTTGTAGATTTATTTAAAAAAATAGAGAGAAAACCATTATAATTTACTTGACCAGATTTCTCTCTATTTTAAAAGGAGCATTTAAATGCATACATGTACTTAATTTTAATGCAACAAGAATTTTTCACATTTTCTGGAATTTCTTCACATATATTTACCCTTTAAATATGAATGACACTTGGTTTTTATGTGCAGCTGCAAGTTGTCCAACTCCTGCAGTTATCAGTAATGGACAGCGTTCAAGCAGTGACACCCAGTATGCCTCGGTTGTTAATTATACCTGTGATTCTGGGTACCAGTTGATTGGGGCACCAATCTTATTCTGTCAGTCCACAGGCCAGTGGACAGCATCAGAGCCACAGTGTATAAGTAAGATTTGTTTTATTCCTTGAATATAATTTGATTATACTTTAATATGTTTTATTTGTGTTTTGAAACAGGACTTGGTTTCAGTAACCTTGAATAACTTATATTAATCAAAGTTTGCGATGTATTTGGTTGAATTGAGCTGAATTTTTTCATAACCTTGAGTTAGTGAAGTTAGTTCATCTATTTATTGATGGAAAGCTATTTGAATTTTCCATGACTTTAAATATATGATTGTACTGACAAAAATTGTTGAGATATTGAAATGTGATCTTTTCTATGCTTGCAGAAATCAAATGCCCCATTCCTGAAATACCAAATGGCCAAGTATCCTCTCAGATGTTGCCAGAGTATCAGGGGACTTTAACTGTCTCCTGTAACACTGGGTACATAGTGAATGGTTCAGCCACCATTACTTGTCAGGATGACAGAAGCTTTGGAACATTACCAACCTGTATCAGTAAGTCATCCTGTAGCAAGTAAAACAATCTGTATCAATAAGTCAGTTTATATCAGTAGATTAATCTGTATCAGTAAGTCAGCCTGTATCTGTAGATCAGTTTGTATAAGTAAGTCCATCTCTATCAGTAAGTCAGGTTGTACCAGTAAGTCAAGCTGTGTTAGTTTTTATCATTGTCAAGTTGTATCAGTAAGTCAGGCTGTATCATTGAATAAGTCAACCTGTATCACAAAGACAATATGTTATCAATAATTCAACCTGTATCAGTAAGTCAGTCTATACTAGTATCTATAAGTCAACCTGTATCAGTATGTAGTCTATATCTATAAGTCAATCTATCAGTAAGTCAGTCTATATAAGTCAACTCTGTATCAGTAAGTCAGTCTATATCTTTAAGTCAATCTGTATCAGTAAGTCAGTCTATAAGGCAGTCTATATCTATAAGTCAAATTGTATCAGTAAGTCAGTCTATAAGTCAGTCTATATCTATAAGTCAATCTGTATCAGTAAGTCAGTCTACAAGTCAGTCTATGTCTATAAGTCAACCTGTATCAGTAGTCAGTCTATATATATATATAAGTCAATCTGTATCAGTAGTCAGTCTATATCTATAAGTTAATCTGTATCAGTAAGTAACTCTATATATATTAAGTCAATCTGTATTAGTAAGTCAGTCTATATCTATAAGTCAACCTCTATCCTAAAGGCAATCTGTTATCAGTAAGTCAACCTGTATCAGTAAGTCAGTCTATATCTATAAGTCAATCTATATCAGTAGTCAGTCTATATCTTTAAGTCAATCTGTATCAGTAAGTCAGTCTATATTTATAAGTCAACCTGCATCAGTAAGTCAGTCTACAGCTATAAGTCAATCTGTATCATTAAGTCTGTCTCCAGTTTTCATTTTGATGGACTTGTATTTTGATTCATCATCACATTGCTACTAACATAAAAATAAATCATTGAAAATCAAATGATGGGATGAGGTTTTTTCCATGGAATTAGATTGCTTTTAAAAAAGCCAGTTTGATTCATTAGAATGGATGGAGGAAACACTATGCATTTAAAATTATTTGTCGTGTCTTGTAGATAACAATGAATGTCAGACAAGTAATGGAGGATGCGCACACAACTGTACAGATACTGAGGGGTCCTATTACTGTACCTGTAGAGATGGCTACACACTAAATGCTGATCAGAGACAGTGTGATGGTACGTAACTCACTCAGACTTATAACTGTAACATTATTAAAGGGAGACCATGGCTTGAAAATGAAGACATATAAACATTGCTTTCCTGTAATTTTGAAATTGCTTTAAATGGACTTAATATGGATGATTCTGATTTTATTGAATTTTGTAACTGCACCTGGATTGATAAAGCTCTGTATTAATTGCACCTTAATTGATGAAACTTACGACTCCTGAATTGATGATCCTTTGCAATTACACCTGAATTGATGAAGCTTTGTAATTGCACCTGAAATGAAGTTTTCTATTTACACCTGAATTGCTGAGCTTTGTAATTGAACCTGAATTGATGAAGCTATGTATTCTCTCTATGTAGATGTTGATGAATGTTCGGTAAATAATGGCGGCTGTACCCAGGGCTGTACCACCTCTGCCGGCTCCTACAGCTGTTCCTGTAACGTGACAGGGTATGTCCTGTTTGACGTGAATGGCAGATCTGGGTACACTATACAGTCACCTGACACCGGCTCCAGGGCTGGGGATGTCTATCATTTAGGACATACCTGTGTCCGTGAGTACCTGTCTTTACTCTACTGAAATTTGTGATGTTCGGTCGATCAGTGTTTGAAACTACCTTTTATGAAGTTTTGAAAATTCTAGTGTCTGACTGTTTGAATAAAACAATTTCTACAATGTTCTACTATGAATACATGTTAAATTAAAATTTTTGGTCATTGTAACTTTATATACCCATCTTAAAAGTGATAAAAAAGATAGATCAGACATGCCTGTAGTTTTCCTTTTATGCTTACTTAAATATGTCAATGTTATGAAAATATGCATGTTTGTAACACATAAATAGATTTAAATTTTTAATTTGTGAATAATTACTCATGTTAATCGCCTTTGAAAACATTTTTAATTGAAAATTTTTTTAAAATTTCATATGTAGGAATAAATTGCTCTGAGCCTGCTTTGGTCCCCAATGGGATGCTGATGACGAAGCGTGCCATGCACAGATACATGGACAAGATCTCCTACATGTGTGACCTGGGTTACGTAAAGACTGCTGGGGAAGAAATGTTCACCTGTGGAGCAAATGGGGAATGGACCCCCTCTCAGACAACATCTCTATTACAGTGCTCAGGTGAGCCAATTTCTAAATACAGCTTAACCCAGGTATCTTGAACATCAATATCTTGAATTCTTGAGAGTCATAAAACATGTTAAAGTGTCCAAATTTTGTTTTCTTTATGCACCATTTTAATTTCCAAATCTTAAAAGTGGTTAACTCCCATCAAATTTGAGATAATGAGGTTTCACTGTATTTAATTCATGGTACATATACTGTTTATTTGTTTAATGCATAGAGATGTTTTCTAGTTTGTTATTAAATAGTTCTAAAAGAGAGTTTTCATCATTCATTCTGTTTTCTCTGTTTTCCAGTTGCATCCTGTCCAGTGACTGACCTGAATTCCCTCAACTTGAGAAATGCCCCAACTCTTAGTACAACTAACCCTGTTAACTACCTGGACTATTTGAATATGACATGTACTGTACCAGGGAAGGGTACGTTTGTCAATCAGCAGCAGTGCCTCTACAACAAGCAGACAAACACCTATGGCTTGTATGGTGCTCCTTATGAATGTGGTGGTAAGTTTATAAAATTTCAACAAGTCAGGATTTCTTAGATCCTGTAATAGCAGAGAAAATACAAAAAATGATAAGGAACACTGATTTATTTTATTCAGCAGGAACATGATACTGTAAACCAATTTCCATTTGCGAAGACTTTATTTTACGATTTACTGGTTGTAAAATATTTTGCAACAATAAATTTTCGTGATCAAGCCTTTTTTGGTTCTTTTGATAATAGACACAGAGACTGTAAGGACCAGTTCGCGGCGAGAAATATTCGCGGTTTAGTTGGTTTACAGTATTAAATAGGTACTACAGTGAAAACAAACTTATGACTATGTCCAAGGGATGACTGAATTTGCTTTGTTATATGCATATTTTGTTAAATTCACTAGGTTCAAAATGAATTTTAAAAATCATAAGAAATCAGAAATTTGTCATGACTGTTTATTAATTGAATTGTAGTGATTGACTGTGGTACCCCACCACAAGTAACAGGATCTTCATACACAAACCTAGCTGCAACAACCTTTGGCAATACATTCACGTTTGGTTGTGAAAGACTCCAAACCAGGATGGGGTCTTCTAACACTACAAATGATGCCACCGTCACGTGTATGGCTGACGGAAACTGGGACTTTGGAACTCTGCGATGCGAAGGTCAGATTTAGAGAATTATACAGTATTATACAGAAAAGATTTCAAAATACATTGAAACTTTTATTAAGGTACTAAATATCAAGGAAATCAATTTATGTGTATATGATTTTGTAAATACTTAAAATTCAAATTGTTGATGGAAATTTGAAAAAAAAACCTTCTTCCATGGAAATGAAACTATTTCTTTGGCTTTATATTTGCCATTGTCTTATAGAATTATGGAATGATCAAACCCATAACAGTTACACTTTAAGTATAAAGATTGATTTGATCATGCAGTGTACATGTTAACATTTGGCTTAATAAAATGATCAAAACATTTCAAATTAACCTACAGGAACCAAATGCCCTGATCCAGGCTATCCTAGAGGAGGGTACCTGTCTGCGGATGTGAAGGGATTCCAGTTGGATCAGGTGGTGACGTTTGGCTGTAACAGAGCAGGCTTCAGTATCCCCTCAGGGAACGCCCTGAAGTGCCAGCTGAGTGTAGGAGGGAACAGTCTGCAGTGGAACGCCACCACACCAGCCGAGTGCCAAGGTAAATAGAGTCTGATACTGTAAACAGTTTTGAAATCATCTCTATCTTGGATATTGTAAATTAGACAACTAAAATATAATTTCAGGCCAAAAAATCTCACAAGATTTTTCAAATACCGTGGGTTACTGCAATGTGTTTCTGTTTTAGAGGTGTACTTAAAAAAAAAAAATTTTGTATTTTACAGATACTGAAAATCCCACAATAAGAGGATGTCCAGGAAATATGACTCTGAACCAGTACACCCAGATCTTTCACAATAGGCCCTCTGTGAATGATAATAGTGGAATTAAGACCTTTGAGGTTACACCTGTAAATGCCAATACAACCCTAGTGTTGGAGACGACGCCAGTCACCATAACTTACACCGCCACTGATTTCAATGGGAACTCAGATAGGTGCAGTTTTACTGTGACTGTAACAGGTTTGTAATGCTTGTGTCTGTGTGGTACAGTTTTGCTACATAACTATGTGCAACTATATCCCTGGTTTGTTTTTGTTGCTAAGGAAGTTTGATACAGTTATTTTGGCTCTCTAGATAACTCTTCAGTATATGATTTCACTTGAAAGCTTCAAAATTTATGGTAAAAACTATTGCATTTCTGATGAAAAATAAAAAGACGTAAACTTTTGTATTGGATAAATTGACCATGCAAAGCCTTGGAAAAGCAATTGTTATATTAACAAAATACATGTAATGCAAAAGAATGCCTTCTCTGGAAAGAGAGGAAAGTTTTGCTTTGTAGGAAAAAAAATTGAAATTTCATTATGGTTTATAATGCTTTGCTTTGTCTTACCTATGAATACAAAATTACGATTCAATTAGATACATGTAATTCTGCTAAATTCTCGGATAATTATACATGTGTGTACAGTTAGAGATATACATAGTTTGAAAGTACTTACTTACTCACATTGTTCTACAATTTATGACTGATGATGACTGTTTTTCCTTTCATTATTTTCACACAGATGAAGAGCCTCCAAAAGTAACCTGTCCGTCAGCAAAAACAGTGACATTTACTGATTCAGAGGTCACCAACTTCACTGTTAATCCTGCAGAAGTAGTGAGGAGTGACAACATTGGGATAGCATCTACCACATACAACCCTCCCTATCTTATTGTGAGCAAAAACTATATTGATACAACAAGAACGGTGACGGTAACAGTGACTGATACAACAGGGAGGACAGATCAATGTCAACTCCAAGTCTACACCAAAGGTAACAATGTCTCCGTATTTTTGTCCACCAAATTTGACCTTTTGACCTTGGAGTTTGACCCACTTTTACACAAAAATTCCAAACTTTTACTTTGGCCATAACTTTTGAATGCTAGGTACTAGGACTTTAATATTTCACATATGTAATCTTTGTGGCAAGACCTTTGATTGCATACCAACAACCTTGACCTTTTAACCTTGACCATGGAGATTTACGTACTTATGAAAAAACTTTTAACCTTGACCATAACTTTTGAACTGTAAGGGCTAGGGCTTTCATACTTCACATATTTAATCCTTGTGAGAAGAACTTTCATTTGATACCAACAACTTTGACCCTGACCTTGGAGTTGACCTACTTTTAAAAAACTTCAACTTTGGCCATAACTTTTTAACGGTCAGGATTAGGGTTTTCATCCTTCAAAAAAATCAACTTCACTGATAATTTCTAAATAAATGACATATGATAGGATATTCATATTAGACACAATATGTCATAAAAAATTACATCTCACCCACAAAGACACCGAAAGCGGGGGACCACAATTCTTTGAATTTGCTTGTGCACTGTAAAATTACATATTTTTTGTGGGGGCAAATTATCATGGTTTAATTCATTAGTTTCAGGAGATTTGATTTCATTGTTGAAATAAAAAGCTTAATACAGGGGTATGAAATTTAGACATATTTGTGGAACATGAATTCATGGGTATCTTAATTCATACCAAGAAAAGCAATGAATAATAACCCCTCATAAGAATAAGTAATTTTTCAGTAATTCAAATAATTGTTTATTTTAAATTAGCCAGTTTTCATCAAGACGATTGATTTAAATTTGATAAATTGACCATTTCACAGTAACTACGGTACTGCTCTTTTGCAGGGCAAAATGATATAGTTTGGTGAAATGTGACGTAAAAGTAATTGTTTAAAATATGACATTTAATTATCTATCAACAAAAACTCCGCCAAACATTATTTTGCTGGCAAAAGTGTAGTTACTATACCGCAGTTATTGTGAAGGGGCTAATAGAGTGAAGTGAAGCTAGAGCTAGAGCTTGAGATAGGACAACCCTTGATGAGAATCAGGTACCTTCACTGCATGAATTTAATCCCTGTTTTTATTGTCTGATGACAGCTGCTCCATGTTCACCCTTCTCCCTGGAAACCCCTGTGAATGGACAGAAAAACTGTAGTGCCACCTCCACTGGGTTCCAGTGTGACTTGAAGTGTGCTCAGACCTACACATTTTATGATGATCCTGGAGTAGCAGTGAAGACCCTGACCTGCACCACAGGAAATGCATGGACCTCACGCATCCCAGCATGCACTCCTGGTACATCATTTTTTTGTGTTCTTTTTTTCAAAGTTTGATACCTTTATTGTTGAAATTTTTGGTTCATTGATTCAAGTTCTTTTGACAGAAATTCAAATGTTAACAAATTACAGGTACATGCTGGTCAGAGATTTTCATACAGAAAACTCATCTTATACTTGTAACTCCCTATGCATAAAATATAAAAATTTTGTAGAAAATCAGCAAGCCCTATACACATCCCTGGTTACAGTGACTTACCAAGTGGAAACCCAAGGACAAACTATTGGATCCACTTGTTTCGACAATGCTTACAAGTCAGCAATTTCCACACAAACACCACTTACTGAACAGGCTTTGAAGGGTGGTTGTTCTGGTGGACTCTTCCCTAATGATAACATTGAGATCAATATCAATGAAGACTCATCGTTTGCCACTGCTTTAATAAGTACAGACACGGTAATGACAGACACCATTATATATCAGACTAGTAGGAGTCAATTTCAATTTTTCAAGTATTTATTTTTTTTAGGGATGTCAAATCGGTCAATTTTTAATACTCGGTTTTTTTTCCATTGAAAATCAAATATGAAAAAGTAAATTGATGAATGTAAAACATTGTAAGCTCTTGTAAAAATAAAACCACATGTTCTGATAGGAGGTTTACCCGTAAATGTATTTCTGTTGTAACAATGATGAGCACTTCGTGCCAGACAAAATTTAATGCATCATTTTTAAAGTTCAATTTATTTATCAGATAAACACAAAAAATAAAATAATAAGTGGTTCACAGTGTTTTTGTTTTAAAAAAATCTACTCCGTAATTGTAAATTAATGTAACTCTTTGTTGCGTTTGACGTTCATGTATCAATCGTACAGTTTGACTTGAACTGGATCAAGTTCTCCTAACAGAGCGGATTTACGATTTTTGTACACTTTTTGATCCAAGATTTTACAGTATTACGGGACGGTATTTTGTAGTTTGGTGCAACGATGGACATCAGTTTTTAAAAGCCTTTGCCTTCAACCATTTGTATTGGCATGTAATCAAACACAACCATATCAGCAATCGCGCGTGTAATATCATCTGACTCTTTTCCCAAGAATTTACAGCTTCTCGGAGAATTGACAAAATTATCTAATTTATTCAATCATAATAGACCTTAAATGATGTTCAGTGAAAACAAATAATTAAAGCAAATCAAAAATTAAGGGCATAAGACAGCCGAAGGTAAGAAAAGACAGGTAACAGGTGCTTGGTCACGATAGTTACGGTATAAACACTGCCACGGGCGATAACCGTTTTAGAGTAGGAAACCCTAATTTCTGTATGTACAAGTGCAATGAGTATTTTACATTTTAAAACAGATTGCTTAATGCATTAACAAACAATCTTAGAAATATTCAAAAATATACATCCGAGTAACCGAGTACCGATTTTAGTATTCGATACTCGGACGTTCGATCGAGTACCCGGTTAACCGGGTACTCGTTGACATCCCTAATTTTTTTCCATTGAAAATCAATGTTAGGAATTTTAGAAAAGATTTGTGAAATTTAGGACAGAGGTTCATTTCTCCTTAATTTGTGAGCAGACAATAAATATATTAGGTTATTTATTACAAGTTGAAATTAAAACTGTTGAGAGGATTGATTGAAGTGAATTGTTTCATAATTTCAGATGAACATCACCTACACAGTGGAGCAGAAGCCCTTTGGGTATGAGGAAACAAAATACTCTGCTTGTGCAGTGAACATTCTGAGCAGAATGCAGTCTTTCGACATCAGTATTAAAAGCGTATCATCCCAGGTACCAGGGTGTCCTAATCTTGTTCGCACTGGTGCTGAAGAAAATTCCAAGGGATTTATTTGCTCTGCAGATAAAAAGAAAGTGACTGTTGGAGGAAAAGACTATTGCCGTATGAATACATATGTAATTTATTGTATTCAGTGTATAACATGAAGTGTCTGCTTTGATTCATTTACCTCTGATGGCTAGTTTGTGTGACATAAATTATCCAAAAATGCTGGGAAATGAGAGCAGTTTGAAAATAACTTATTTCTTATAATTTTTCCAGTGAATTGTCCAGCTGGGACGTATTTGAGTGCCCCAAACACCTGTACTTTATGTCCAGTGAATACCTACAAAAGTTTTAGCGGAGCCGCAGCCTGCACACCTTGTGGATCTGGACGCGGCACCCACATCACCGGGGCTACGTCATCAGTGCAGTGTCTCAGTAAGAATGGGAATTATCTCTTGGTTCAACAACTTAAAATTTGATTTTTGATAAGAAGGTTAATAATGATATATCATTTGCAATGCAAGCACTAGACTGTAACCAGTGTGTGCATGCATTATTTGAAGTTGTGAATCAGGTGGTGAAATGAAATCAAATTAAGTCATGGGAGTTGAATATTTTAAGCATTGAAAGAAAAAAAAAGAATGTAAAATTAATTACATTTGATTTATTTATTTGATGGTAGAACTTGTTTAAATCAATCATGCAATAACCCTTATCTAGGAGTCTACATGTATTTGTAAAAATATTTTAGGTAATTTTTGGAATTTTATTTTGAATGATATGTTTGGTTATAAAATTAACTTTCCAAGGGTGCCTCAAAATTGACCCTGTTTTATTGCTAAATATTTCATATAATAAAAAAATATTGGTAATCTCTTCCAAATTGAATTTTATTTTAATCAATAACATAAAAACAACAAATCACCTCCCTCATCATTTTTTGAGGTTTTGTACAATGTAAAAAGATGCCTCATCATGTTTTGAAGGGCAATAAAAGTAAAAAAAAAAAAAGCCTCCCTCCCTCATCATATTTCTTGAAAAAAGGCCAAGGAATTAACTTTGCATGGCCTAAAAAATGATCTTTTGTGAGTAATACCTATGCATCCACTAGATTCATCATAAGAAATACATTATATAAGATAGGTTCTTTTAAATGATTTGAGAATGTGCATGTGCTCCGTTATTTTCTAGATTTTATAGTTACTTTTGTACATGTATTTATAGAAAACGTGAATGTAAATGCCTTTTCGTGAATAAAATATTCTTGAGGGAAAAAACCTAAAATATAACCCGGTATATTTTCAATTAATTTTTGGGTGGAGCTTGTACCAAGTGCGAATACATTTTATTACATGTGTACATCGATTATTAATTAGTATGCATCGCCGGTATCTGAAGGATGATGCTACAAGCTAATTAACAAAGATGTAGGTCATAAAAACTGTTAAATACAATAAATCCTTTCAGCACGATTATTGAGCCACAGAAATAAAAAGTAGAGGCTGACATTCATATGTCATTGATTAGAACCAAATAACTTTTACATTATAAAACCATGTAACTATGGAGACATACATGTATGATATATGTACATCAATGTCCTACCTTGAACATTTCCTTTTTTTGGCGTTTCTATCGAGTACATATACATTTCCTATTTTATAAACACTTCCTTTGTTGCGTTGTCTTATGAGGACTTCATTTCACTTGCGGGATCATGCTCCAGTTAAAACAATTTCATAGCGCTTTTAATGTCTATATATCAGTCGAAGCTAATCAAAGCTATACGAGTATGAAATAAAACTTTGTAGGTCGTTACATAAACTTTTAAAGTCGTATACAAGTGCTTTTCACTTTGTGACACATATTGATGGTATCAAAAGACATTACTCTGATTACATGCAAAAATTGGCTGATAATCCGTTTTGGAGTCATGGTAGCAAAAAACGATGATCATCAATTGATCAGTATACATTCAGTATTGCAACAGAAAATTTATTATCAAATTAAAAAGTTTTATTATGTTTAATTGTGTTGCACAACTTTAAAATGAAGCATTTTTGTACATTTACACATATCATAATGATATTTATAACCGACAGCAAACAAGAGTTCATCAGATCATGATCAACCTCCTTCATGTTGAATCAAAAGAAAATTTGGCAAACTTGGAGTAGATACCTACACAGAAAATATGTACATTGCGGAATTGAGTGAATAGATTAACACCTGCGAATTGACGAGAAGCCTTATCAGATGATCCTATGCATGTTGTTTACTATGTTTTTAGATCAAGAGGTAAGTATGCATAGATCAATTTACTTGGACTCGGGACCATATGAGCAATGAGAGTTCTTAATCTTGCAAACGCCTGTCATGACACACTGAGCGACCGTTTTTCGGCGAGCGCAAATATTACATCTTTGTTTTAAGCGCCTTTAGATCGGGCTCCATCATCTGCACGTGACATTTGGTGCGTCTAGTCTGACATCACAGACGTCGTTTGGCCGTGGTTTGCGAAAATGAAGTCTAACAGTGCTGAAACTTTAACCCTCGACTTTACTATTTGACTACATTAAATCGGACAACTGTTATTTTAATTTATTTTTGCAATCTATTAGAGCGCCTGCTCTAGAGACGCGAAGTAAGGAGTTGATCCCTATACGTCGCGAGTTTAAATCCTACTGTAGGACGTGGAGAGCGAATAAACCGAGGTCCCGTGTCGCAGTAGGTGATGGCACGAAAAAGATCCCTCATTGCATAATGGCCGTAAGTGCGTGGTATAGAACAAAATTTGCATCTCTCTACATGCAACTTGTGGCTTCTCAATTGCATATGAGTGAAAAATTCTCGAAGGCGAGGAACGTTAAAACAACATACAAACAAACAATCTCTTTCGGCATGTGAGACTTTTGGCAAATGTTACCATTTGTGCACACTTCATGTACACAGCTTCATGTTAATTTTTCATGACATGTTCACAAAGAATTAAGGATCTTTTTAATGCATTACCTTTGAGATACATGTATCAACATTTATGCACTTAAAGGGTGAATTAACTTACATGTACGTATTCTTTATATGAACAAGAATTTCAAAACGGTTGTACATGTTTAACCTTTTCCTTTAAAGCAAATTATTTGTTGACTAGTGTTTCGAGTTATTCAAACATCGTTTTTTTGTTTGTTTGTTTATTTAAATTCCCTTTGAGAACTTTTCACTCAAACTGAGAAAAAAAAATCACTTGATGAGAACTTAAAAATAAAATCTAACAAATTTAACACACAGGGTTTGAGTTCTCATTTAAATCTTTTATCCACTTTGGATAAAGATTTAAACATTGGCTTAAATCTTTGTGTGTTAATATAGATTTATGAGTTATATTCATAATTAAAAAATTTCACTATGATCAACTTGTATTCACATCCTGTATAGCTTATTGAACGAACGCTCAAACCACTGCGTCATACTTGCACAGGTTTAAAGTTTCTTATAGGTCAAATTGACTGTAATGTTTTGTTAAATATAAAACATGCACACCGTTTCTAGATTGATATATCTATCTTTTATTTCCTTTCAAAAAACGTTTTCCCCCTCTACTTACAACATAACGTGACATGTTGATACAATTATGTATTCTTAAGTGAGAAATCCTGTATAGAGAAAACAAATGTTCAATAGACGTAAATAATGTTGTTAACACCATAGAATTCTACAACGTCACTTTTTGCCCCGATTGTCTTGTATTTTGCGAAAGAAAATGATTGATTACGTAAAAAAGCAATCCGAGCACTTGTAAGACTGTCTGATAAAATCACTGAAAGGCGATTGTCTCCTTGCAAGCAAATATAGGTACACACCTAGTACTTTGCGTGCAAAAACGGGTCATGTAAAAGTAATTTTTCATCGCAAAAAAGATTTCCTTTATGAATGATGACTTACAAATTACTATATAATTAGGCCCCCCAAAAATCGAATAAATAAATGCATCTGTTAAGTACAACCAGCATCAGAAAAAAATAACCCCGTGTTCTATTTACTCTTTAAATTGTTTTATTTTATCTTATTTTAAAATCTTGACAGAATGGTGTACGAGGGTTGTTCGTAAAATTCATAGACAACATTATACATTTATTGACTGAGTTCAAGGGCAACATGCGTTTTGTCGGACCCAAGAACCAAACTGTCTGCCTGACGCCATTAGAATGTAACAATTCAGATGGCAATTCAGATTTAGTAAAGGATTAGAAATATGCCAATAATAAATATCAATGACACAACTTTTATTAAATTTTTAGCTTGTCCATGAAGTTTATGGACAACTTTTGTATGCCTTATTATATTGTTTCTGAGGGAGTGTGTGACAGGAAAAAAAAAAATCTTTTTTGAGTTGGCTCGCGTAGCGAGCTACTCCCTGTCGACATAGCCGTTTCAGAGCTGTAAAATTTATCACGCATTCATCAAGTTGATCCATACGCCAAATATTATAGTTCTAGCAAAAAATGCTTTGGTTTGAGTGATTGTGTAAACTTAAGAGGTAAAAACTGTATAAAATTTCATACTGTAACATTATTTATGCCTTCATGCTTGTAAAGAAATTTTTGATTAAATACCTGTACGATGCACAATTACTGCATATGAATATATGTTCAAGCATGTTAGGTGGATCTAATCTTCCCATCTGAAGTTTATTAATAATTGACCTAGAATACTCCCTCTCACAAACACCTGCTGCTCTCATTAGCTGCAGCTAGTTGTTGTTGAAAATCTATTTTTAGAATCCAGATTTGCTGTGGGAATCTTTAACCAAATTACTTAATAACACTGACCACTTCAGCTAATGTGCTTAAATTCATTATAGAATCCAGTCAAAATAATACGGAAGCCCATGAGTGCCAACCTGTATATATAAAGGAAAAGCAATATACACTTTATTTATGAACCGAACATGGATCAGACATATAATATTCAATCTCTTAAGATGCAAAATAAACTAAATATATTAAGGTATGGTGCCCAGATGTATTAAAAAGCTCAATTGACTCGAGCGAGTCAACTCGCAGGCCCTTCAGGCCTTTGATTTTATTAATTGGAAAGGCAGATGTGTAGAAAAATAAGTAGACATTTCATGTTAAGGATAATTCATGAAAGTCATGGTCCTTGGACCAGTCTGTATGCACAAAGTTGGAGAATTCTTGATTGGTTGAATGGCAGGTGGGATTCAATTTTAATTTTGACTTTTAATTTCTTATAAATGCCTTTTTTACTTCTGTAGGTCAAATTTGTCCATATGAAATGTACCTGAACAATGGAACCAGCTTGGGCCCTTATAGACAGGCATCGGGTTTGACAATCAACTCTTGTCGACAACTGTGTGACAATGAAATACAGTGTCAGGCCTTTACCGTTGGGACTGGAAGTTGCTCTTTGTATAGTATTTCTCCAACCACCTCAACCTTCACCAGTGCACAAGGTTCTGTCCTCAACAAAAAGAAATGTAACAATCCAGATGGTAAGCTTACTTATGTAAAGTTTGGATCTGAAAATTGTATAAATTATATGGCTTACCTGTTTATTGATTAAAGCCAGTGTTTTCCCTTTATTTCAAAGTAAAGGGTTAGGAATCAGTTGTAACAGGCTAGCTAGGGCATGAGGTTTATGAACAAAATCTTTATGGACCTTACAGCAAATTTTTGTATGAAAGCGACATTTAATTTTGTCAATTAAAGTGGTCAATTTGGCCGGTTCTTAGGGAAAACACTAAAAGCTATAGAATAAGAAGGAACAAAAGAAGTTAATAAAAGTTGAGAACTGATTCTGACCTCTGACCTTAAAATTGGAAAGTTGTTGAGCCTTATAACTTCTAGAATCCCTGTCAAGGTGAGCCAGGGGCCGTAGCAGAGTCACAATGGATATTTTATTTTTATTTTCTTAGGAATAAATCATTCAAAAGGCAAACCCACAATTATAATCAAACAAATATGCAAGCATTTATATGCAGGGTAGACTCATTTTTGTTGAAATAATGCCTATGTGGAAAAACAGTGAGAACAGTTTAACATGTACATTTATTTGTTGAAGATTTAATTTCAAGATATTTCAGTGTATTTCTTTGAGAAGAAACTAAAATTTTTAGACAGGAGTTAACAATTGATCTTTAAGTCTCAGTCAACAGAGAAAGTTAAAACCCCTTACTAAGAATATGTTAACAGTCTTAATGATAAAGTTTTGTGGTTTGTTGTAGATGATTATTGGAGCCCTTGGTATGACATGGGTCCACCAAGTTCTGGAACAGAATCAGAAAAGCGAGCTCAGCTGTCCACGGTAAGCAACATGTGTATATGTTACTGGGGGTATATTGTGTTAGACTGCTTAAAGAGTTTTGAAATGATAGAAAATTAAGTAGGAAAGATGGAAGGCTCTTTTCATTGTCATAAATAATAATGAATGTTAATGAACCATTATTATAGAGAGATAAACTGAATATGAAAAATAATAACTCCCACTTATCCATCTATGAATGTGTTGTTAGTGTCATCCAGTGAAAAATAAAATGTGCCATTTTACATAAAAGGGCTAAATTATCCAAAACCTTTTGTTGTAGCTTCAATAATAGCTCCAGTGAAATGTACTGCAGTCAGTTTATGCCCGTTTGTTATATCTTTTTCAGTATGGTGTAAATGTATGCAATGGAACAGTCCCGATTGCTGCGGAATGTCGCGTTGTTGGTACTGGTGTATCGTCATCACAAACAGGGGACGTGTTTTCTATGGCATGTGGAGTGGATGGAATTGAGTGCACAGACCAACAAAATAATGCATGTGAAGATTATGAAGTACGATACAAGTGTTCCGTTTACAAAGGTATAAATATTCTGTAGAGTGTCCTGTAGGTGTAGTGTATCTGACAAAGAAAACTACAATAGTTTTATATTGTACATTAATGTATAGTAACTATATGTGGATAAAATCAGCTTAGATAAACTTTATAGAGCATTTTTCATCAATTTAATTTCTGAATATAATTTTTGAAAATAATCTCTTCATTATACAGAAAACTTTGCTAAATGAAAAAATTTTTAAGTTATTTTTTTTCTATGTGTTTGAAAGAAATTTTATATTTTTGTCATTAAGAGCGTACGTGTACAATTTGTTAAAATTTAGAATCCAATGTTTTTCTATTTGTTTTTGAGATATTATTATATACTTATATATATATGCAACTTGTGGTATTCATAAATTAGTGCCTCATTGTTTGTGCCAAACCCGCAATACAATATTCAAAACTTTCTGATTAGGATCAGCATTTCCTCTCCTTCAAGTATGAAATTCAGTAAAACAATATATTGCATGACATTTTCAAATTTTGGTTACTTAAAAATATGCACAATATGTTAACACACTTTTGCCTACTTTATTAAATTCTAAAATAAATTTTTTTTACAGTATTTCCTGGTGGCACCTGTAATATAAAGAACTACTGTTCACCAAATCCATGCAAAAACGGAGGAAACTGTAATTCCCAATTTAATGACTTTACATGTAGCTGTCCATTTGGCTACACTGGCAAGCTTTGTCAGCACGACATTGACTCCTGTGGACCTGCTTCCTGTCAGAACGGGGGCACCTGCTACGATAAACCCGGCAACCAGGGATATGGATGTACCTGTCCTCCAGGCTATAATGGTAAATACAGGGACTTGTGTACTTGGTTTCTTTGGTAATTTCAGTCATCAACCAGTTGGTTGTAGTTTCATGGGTGCCATTTGTAGTCAGTAGTAGACCGACTGACTGAGTTAGGTTCAAATATTTATTTTGATAAAGATGGTAGCATAAAAACCTGTAATACATGTAGTACAATTACACACAACATATAGACAAACATTTAGACATAAATAAAACGTCAAACTTTAGAAAACATTAATTTTCATGACATTCGTCTTACCAGGACAAACACAAGTAGAAACAACAAATATTGCTATCTGTGTATGGTGTTCTAATACAATGAAGACATCTGTACATCTAACAAGTTCAATGGCTAGGCTGAGAGTATCTGATGTTAGTTTGTGAAAACAGGAATTTAGTGAAGAGTTTGAAATCATGTGACTGTCTGTTCTGTGTTTTACATTTGCAGTCTTTCATACCACATACATATACTGGTATATGTATTTACGCAGCATAAGTAGCTTTTAATATTTTTATTATACATGCCTAACTCTGTTTACAATAAGTACATGTACATGTTGCGATATTCCTGTCTTTTGAGAAATTGGACTTTTGATACTTATTATAATTTCCAGGGGATGTATGCCAGAGCAATATCAATGAATGTGCCTCCAACCCCTGTAGTCCTGTGGGGAGTCTTAACTGTGTGGACCGAGTCAATGATTTCTTCTGTAACTGTAGACCAGGGTTTACAGGAAAGAACTGCTCTGTAAGTATAAAGAGAATATCTCAAGCTTATGTCATGTAGATTCAAATTATTCTGTTTAGGAACAGCAGTGCCAAGGTGACTTGAGTTGAAAATTGTGACACATCGGACTTCTGTAAACAGTAAAAATATCAAGCGTAGCAGTTTGGAAGGCATATGCATACATATACCTTTACCAGATTGTCAAATTAGGGGAAGGGGGTCCAATTTTTTATGATATACATGATTGCAAAATGTGAAATTTAGAATTGACCAAAAAAGAGAACCAACTCTAAGGGTACTAACTTTTCAGGTGCCGATTGATGAGTGTGCCTCTGCACCCTGTATGCATGGCGGGAACTGTACAGACCTGGTGGCAGACTTTCAGTGCACTTGTCCTGAAGGCTGGGTCGGGAAACGATGTGAGGTGATTTACGATGAATGCACGTCTAATAACAGATGTCCCAGCACAGCTCCTTGTATCAACATTTTCAAGAAGTCTTTCTGCAGGTAAAGAGGGGTTTCGTATAAATTATAATTCATAGTTATATGTCAACTTCATATTGGTTTAGTTTAAATGTTGATGAGGACTGACATATAATATGCTATAATTTTTCTATGACAATTTTTCAACAAATTGAAAAAAAATTAAAATAACTTTTTTTAATCTCTTTTCATTATTTACCATATCTACAGTAAATCTGTATAGAAAATAATATTAAAGGGTAAAACACCTCTCTCTCTTTGTAACAGTTGCCCTAAAAATACATACGGTGACGTGTGTCAGAATAAACCAGACATTTGTCGTGACGTGAGACCTTGTTTGAATGGAGCTACATGTAAAGAAGGAATCTCTACTTCCACATGTACTTGCCCAAATAATGGTAAGATTTTGTAACGATGAGTAAAAAAAAGATGGAGAATTTTCTTTTCCAAGTTGCATTTCAGCAACAGGTTGTAACTGAATGGTTTTGTTCAATATTATTTGGATGAATCTGAAGAGCTAGTCTTTTTTTTTTATTTGTACTTTACAGACTACAGAGGACTGGGCTGTCAGACTATGATAAGCCATTGTGCTGATCCCAATAAGTGTCAGAATGGAGGAACATGTGTTAATTTGGCCCCAGGTTTTAGATGTGACTGCCAACCAGGTAGGAATCTATATATCTGAACTTAGATATCTCAAACTCAAATATATAAACTATATAAAATACTGTGAATATATAAAATTAAATTTTGGAAGTCCCAAACACTTTTTCTTTAAGTATTTTACCCTGATTTTTTTTTAACTCTCCAAAATTTATTGTTTTGAATAACAGGTTATGCTGGTGTTAACTGTGAAGTGAATGTCAATGACTGCTCTGGGGTTTCCTGCACCGGTGGCAGTACTTGTATTGATATGGTGAATGCCCATTACTGCAGGTGTCCACTAGGAAAAACTGGAGAGGGCTGTCAAAGAAGTGAGCAAATTTTTAAATTAAAAAAATGAGAAAAAAGAACAGAAAAATAATTGATACACAACTGTGACACTCGGGTGACTGCTGAAGCTCAGTAGTATAATTTAAGCCCTTTTCTTACAGAGATGGGTACTTAATGAAAAAAGTGCAATAATTTTATTTTGTTCTTCAGATCTGGATGTGAATTATGATATGTACTTCTACCTGACAAAGCAAGATGGCTATGCAGCACTGCCCTACCCCATCTCTTTGAATGCTGACGCATTCTCTATCAGTGTTTGGGTCCGCTTCTATCATTCCTCCATCACTGGAACCTTCCTCACTATTTTTGTTGCAAAGTAAGAATTTGTATAATAGGAGATCTGGTAAATGTGTCATGAAGATGTTCAACATTCAGCAATTGAACCTAAATATTACTTGATTAAAAGTTTTCATATCAACTTTCACTGGAATGTATCAAAAACAAGGATTTTTTAAAATATTTAAGTATTTAAAAGGAAAGATTTGAATTTTAAAAAATGCTACTGAAATGCCATACTACACTATCAAAAATAATCTAAAGCAATATTTAATTAATAAGAGAAATAGCATATTCTTAACATGGCCAAAGTAAAATAACAAGCATTTGAAAAGAGATATGTTGAAGCCAAAGCCAAATTCAATATGACAGCAAGACCTGGAAACCCAAAATTTTTGACTTCTGTAGGTCAGCCAATAGTCTGACAGGTGTGACAAAGTTCCTCACCCTTGACCACAGTGGCTTAACAGTCTATGATGAGAACGTTCAGAACCCAAGGACAGCTAAGTACCAGCTGGAGAAGGTGGCTGACGGACGGTGGAACTATGTGGTGATGACGTGGAAGAACGACGGAAGCTTCGATTTAGTGGTAAACAGCTTACGACAGGACACAATAACTGCCACCCAGTACAATTCCACTTTTGCCAAAAAGTAAGATTATTTCGAAGTTTTTGTGCTTAAAGCTGACCTTTGATATCTTGAACATTGATTTGTTGTTTAGGGATACACTGTAGTGATTTGGGATGATACAAATGAACTTTAATATGTTGATTCCTCAGATATCTTAAGGTATTGATCTGACATTTAAACCTTGTTTAACATCTTGGAGGTTTGAAAGTTTCAAATTCAGGACAATTCCAAAACTTAATGAGAATTTTTATTTAATTTGTATTTCTTTGCTTTTCTCTTACCTTGGGTACATGTAAATGCAAGACATATTTTTTATTGAACAGTATTTGGGTGACTCTTGGTGGAGACTTTGATAGTTCCTTGACTCCAAGAGTTGGATCAGGTTTCCGAGGATATGTAAGCCAACTGAATATTTACAACAGAGCTCTAAGCTTTGAAACTGAGATGCCACAACTAATTACTGAACCAAGAAAGGTATTTGATGGCACCATCTTACGTTGGAATGAATTTATCTATCATCGAGGAGTACAGCCAGTGTATCCTTCAAGTGCACAGAAACAGTGTACAGGCAGCAACTGTGTTACATATAGTAAGTAATCAGATTGAGGGGAAGGGGGTTGTTGGTTAGAACTTGAGTAAAGTTGAACTTAATTATCTTTAAAGACTGGGGATATGTTGTAGTGATCTGGAAGTGCCATGAAACTTTTATATATAAGCTGAGAAAAACAGAGAAAACATTAACTGTGATTGATTTCACTGTGACTGATTTCATGTTTTATTTCAGACAAGGTGTACCCCATTTTTAAGACTCCCTGTCCTCCCAATGTTTACAAAGTGTCCACAGACAGACTGACCACGGTGACATGGACCGAGCCCATTCCAGAGGGGGCAACATCACAGGAGAGTTCCCACAAATCAGGTATGGAAGAAGTTAGTCCTGTAGAACATTCACAAGCATTTAATGATGTGTCATTTTGTAAACTAGGTTTGATGTGGCAGTTTGTTAGGCAGCGTTACTCTGGATGTTTCATGGAAACTTTGATTGAAGGCTTAATTCTTTTGTGTTGATCAAACAAGTTACCTTTTATGCATAACTGTATTGTGATGACCTGTTGTGTGTAAGACTTCATTGTAGAATGTCTGTATTTGATTTTTCCACAGGAGATACATTTTTATGGGGCAAATACACCAACACTTATGCCATACGTGATGCTTCTGGCAGCTCGGCCTCTTGTTCCTTCAACATTTATGTTATGCGTAAGTAAACACAAGAATATTGAAGAATTTTCAGGATTTTTTTCAACATCTCAGTCCTATCAGATTAATATTGTATTAATGTTTAAAATACATGTACTTTTGAAGTACGTGCACACTTGGTTCAAATTATTGTGCTTTCAAGACGGTAAAAAAAAAATAGATGATTAGTAGTAATGATATAAAATGAATTGTTATATCATATAACAGAAGACAATCATAGTTAGAAACTGTAAGGTCTAAAGATGTAGCTGTATTCAAATAAAAGTTATTCACAGTTCTGTTATATATTCTATTTAAGCTGAGAGGTGTGTAGATCCCACACCCCCACATCTAGGTACAAGAACCTGTGAGAGGAATTATAGCCCATACATTGGCTGTAGAATTGGATGTTCTAATGCTAATAGAAGAATTGACCGATACACACCTAAAGTTTACACTTGTGGACCTACAGGGGCATGGAATCCTTCCAATAGAAATATTCCCATTCGCTTCCCATCTTGTGGATGTAAGTTCATAGGGAAAATTAACTGTTCCTATTATACATGTACATTTATAACTCACTGTTGAGCCGTCTGAGTTTACTTATAAAACCAATTTCAGCATTTTAAAGATTGAAATTTATTTTTTCTTAGATAAAAAAAGAATTCTGTGTCTCTACCAGTAATTAGTACATGATAATTAAAAATAAAATGAAAATATTGATGCACAGATTTCTCACAAATTTGTTTTTTGTTTTAGTGCAACAGAACCCAGCAAAAAAGAAGCTGAAAATACGACTGGCTTATCCAAGTATTTCCACTGCATACTGTGAAGGAATAAGAAACACTCTTTCTACAAAAATGCAAGAAACTATTGCCTCCATTAACCAGAAGTGGGACAACAAGATCTGTGGACAGACGGACTGTGGTGATGTAGCCATTGTTATCACCTGTCAGACGTCCAGTGGAAGGCGAAAACGTCAGACAGCACAGAGCCCGACATCAGTAGATATCACCATCCCAGAGTCACTGTAAGTAGATATCACCATCCCAGAATCACTGTCAGTAGATATCACCAGCCCAGCGTCATTGTAAGTAGATATCACTATCCCAGAGTCACTGTAAGTAGATATCACTAACCCAGAGTCACTGTAAGTAGATATCACCATCCCAGAGTCACTGTAAGTAGATATCACCATCCCAGAGTCACTGTAAGTAGATATCACCATCCCAGAGTCACTGTAAGTAGATATCACCATCCCAGAGTCACTGTAAGTAGATATCACCATCCCACAGTCACTGTAAGTAGATATCACCATCCCAGAGTCACTGTAAGTAGATATCACCATCCCAGAGTCACTGTATGTAGATATCACCTTCCCAGAGTCACTGTAAATAGATATCACTATCCCAGAGTCACTGTAAATAGATATCACTATCCCAGAGTTATTGTATGTAGATATCACCATCCCATAGTCACTGTTAGTAGATATCACCATCCCAGAGTGATTGTAAGTAGATATCACCATCCCAGAGTTATTGTTAGCTCTTCTGAGCCAAAGGCTCAAAGAGCTAATGCTATGGCCATTTGTGCGGTGTGCGTAAACTTTTTAGATATCCATAGCCATTGGCCAATCAGGACCAAATTCGTCACAGGGTATTCTTGGCCCAAGGGCTACCATTTGTACTAAAATAAGGGTTGGGACCCTTAAACAAGGGGAGATAATCAGGAAAACAAAACCAAAAGTACTGGTTGCTAAAAAATCTTCTTCTCCATAACCACCTGTCAGATTTTCACCAAACTTACATACAAGGATCAGGATATGTTGAAGATTAAAATTTGCATGGGGAATTACCCTGGGGCAAAGGGCGTGGTCTCAAGGTCACTTCAAAGTTGACCTAAATTTACAATTAATAAAAACGTGTATATTTTGCTTACTATAAGGACTAGGATCATCAAATCCTGTAAGTTATGACTTCACATCATGTTCACTCAAAAGTAGGTCACGGTGACCTACTTTTTAAATTTTGCGGGGATTTGTTTTCAAATTGATTTAAAGGCATATTTTGGACACTTTAAGGCCTATGATCATCAAACTTTGTCAGTTGATGCATCTTGGGTCCTCAAACAATGTCAACTTAAAAGTAGGTCACTGTGACCTACTTTTTGAACTTTATGACTTATCCTTTTAAAAACATTAAATCCCATTATTTCAGACACTGGGAGGTTTAGAATCATCAAATCTTGTACTTTGATGCATCTTTTGACCTTAAAACATATTTATGAAAAAGTAGGTCACGTGTGACCTACTTTTTGAATTTTGCTGACATTTGTTTTCAAATTGTTTAAAAGGCATATTTTGATTACCTTCCGACCTACCATCATCAAACTTGGTCAGTAGATGCATCTTGATATCTTGTCCCAAAATGTCAACCAAAATGTAGGTCACGATGACCTACTTTCGACATTTTATGGCTATATTTAAGTATCTTAGGTATTTATTGGCTTAGAATCATCAAACTTTGTGAGTGGATGCATATTTAGTTTTCGGAGAGTGACGTCCAAAAAGTAGGTCACGGTGACCTACTTTTGACATTTTATGGCTTTATTTATACGTATCTCCGGTACTTATTGGCTAAGAATCATCAAACTTTGTCAGTTGATGCATCTTGGGTTTTCGTAGAGTCACCATCCAAAAAGTAGGTCATGGTGACCTACTTTACATTTTGTGGCTATAATTAAGTATCTCAGAGTCACTGTTGACCTAAAATCATCAAACTTTGTCATTTGATGCATCTTGGGTTTTCGGAGATTGTCGACCAAAAAGTAGGTCACAGTGACCTACTTTTGACATTTTATGACTATATTTAGGTATCTCAGGCACTTATTGGCTAAGAATCATCAAACTTTGTCAGTTGAGGCATCTTAAGTTTTCGGAGATATCACCATCCCAGTAGGTCACCGTGACCTACTTTTGAATATCTCAGGTACTTATTGGCTTCGAATCAGCAAATTTTGTCAGTTTAGGCGTCTTGGGTTTTGGATAACGTCGACCAAAAAGTAGGTCACTGTGTCCTACTTTTGATATTTGATGGCTATATTTAATTATCTCTGGTACTAATTGGCTTAGAATCGTCAAACTTTGTCAGATGATGCATCTTGGGTTTTCAGAGAATGTTGACCAAAAAGTAGGTCATGGTGACCTACTTTTGAATATCTCAGGTACTTATTTAATAAGAATCATCAGTCTTTGTTAATTAATGTATCTTGAGTCCTCAGAAAATTTCAATCAAAAGGTAGGTCACTGTGACCTACTTATGGTATTTAATAATTATATTATAATATCTTCAGTCTTAACTGGCTAAATATTTTCAAACTTTGTAAGTTGATGCATTTTGGGTCTTATGATACTAATAGAGTTGGAGGCTTCTGATAGAAGTGATAGATTGTACAATTTATCAGAAGAGCGATTCAAGGCCCTTGGGCCTCTTGTATGTAGATATCACCATCCCAGAGTCACTGTTAGTCATTTGTAATGGATAAAATTTATTTCATAAGTCTGTAGTAAATCAGTGACTGCCCAATTATTGAGCTTGATTTGGGTATGTGATTGTATTATGATAAATAATTAACAGATCAAGTTTGCATTGTATTCAGGTATTATGATTATGACCATTTCATTTTTAAGGGAAGTCAGATTACCCGGTATTCTTTCAGGAAGGGAACTAGTACATGTATTGGCATATTTCCAATACTTTCTGAATACTTTTAAATGTTTAAGAAGTCACTTGACACAGTTGCTGTTAAGTCTATTTTTATTTTATTGTAGAGCCTCACTCACCAGGAGTAATCCACAAGAAACACTCACCATTGAGGAGATTCTGACCAGAAATATCCTGGAGTCACAACTTTTTGATTTTTCGGTAAGACATAATTATCTTTATTTTCTTTTTTAAATGTGCATCAGTATTTTAGTTCACCATTACTTTTCAGATGCTTTACTTATGTATTCAAATTTTTTGTAGTAACTCATGATGTAGCCTGGAAATTTGTAAAAATTAGTAATTTTAATACCTGCCTCTGTGTTGGAAGGGACAGTAAACATGGAGAATTGTTTCAAAGTGATCTCTGTAATTGGAGGTCTTGATGTGAAAAATTATAAAGAGTGGTATATTGCTCTCTTATGGTTTCTTTTGTGCCTTAATGCCTTCTAAGTACTGGCATCTGTGATTTTGATATGATGTAAAGAGAAACATGACAATATATGTACTTATTTAATATAATTTCAGGGAACAATTCCCAATGCTACACCCGATCTGAATGAGTTCACTTTAGACTCAACAGACACCTGTCCGAGCGGAGAGACAGTGGTGGATGGCTATTGTGGTAGGTTTATTGTAGATAAATACAGGGTACATGCATAGTGGGGAATATTTCAGTGGTTAGGTCATGCAAAGTTAATTCCTTGGTTCTCAGGCCTTTTTTTAAAGAAATATGATGAGGGAGGGAGGCTTTAAAAACTTTTTATTGCCCCCAAAACATGATGAGGCAGCATTTTTCATTGTACAAAACCTCAAAAAATAATGGAGAGGTGATTTGTTGTTTTTATTTTATTGATTTAGCAATAAAAAGGATCAATGAGGCATCCTTGGAAGGAAGAGATGAGCTAGGGTCTGAGAAACAAGAAATTATTTTTTATGGCATTAGGTATATTTAGATAATTATGTATATTTGAGGGGTCTTGTCCTATAGATTGTGATATCCAGGAAATTCATTGAAAAGTTTTGTAGAGGTCTATCATGCATAAGATAAAACTTAGTGTTGGAAAATTGAAAGTCAAGAAATAATTATTTGAAAGAAGGTCATTTTTGTACCTCCATGTCAAAATTTTTTTTCAAGGCCTGAAATATTGTATGCATTAGTATACTTTGCATGAACACTTAAGCAAACATTATTTGACATTCAATATTTTTCAATGTAATGTCTTTCTTATTTTAAGTCAAATGTGGTCCAGGAAATTTCTTTAACAACGTGACCAGTGTCTGTGATGACTGCCCTGTGGGGACTTATCAAGATCTGGATGACCAGTCCTCTTGTAAGCCGTGTACTCAGGGATCTAACACACAGACTGTAGCCAGCACCAGCGCCACCGATTGTAAAAGTGAGTCACTCTCAAAATAGAAAACTTATAGGGAGCTGAAATGGAGACATGTTACTGGTAGTTCAAGTTTTACTTTAGTCAGAAGAGATGGATATAGGATGCAGATTGAAGAAATCAGACTAAAATAATGAATAAATGCTTTGTGAAGCAACATGTGAATTAAGTTGAGCTATATTGCAATGCACTGACATCTTTTCTGAGGATGCAGATTTTCAAAATCAAGCTGAAATAATTTTCTTGTGAAGCACCATTTGCTGTAGGAATGTAAATTTAGTTAATCTATATTTGTCCAGTGCTGAAAGACTTAAGTTGAGCTATATTGCCAAGAGCTGAAAGTCTTAAGTTGAGCTATATTGCCCAGAGCTGAAAGTCTTAAGTTGAGCTATATTGCCCATTGTTGAAAGTCTTAAGTTGACTTATATTGCCTAGTGCTGAAAGTCTTAAGTTGAGCTATATTGCCCAGTGCTATAAGTCTTAAGTTGAGCTATGTTGCCTAATGCTGAAAGTCTTAAGTTGACTTATATTGCCCAGTGCTGAAAGTCTTGAGCTATATTGCCCAGAGCTGATAATCTCTCTTTTCTGACAGCAATCTGTGACCCTGGCCATTACCAGACAGGAAGCAGATGTGAACCTTGTCAGGTGGGCTTCTACCAGAACCAGTCCGGAATGTTTTACTGTGACCCGTGCCCAGTGGGTCAAACAACTCGAGCGGTTAAATCCACCTCTCAAAGTGAATGCTACAGTAAGTAACTATAATTTATAACATTTAACTATTTACAATATTTCAAAACCTTCTCTAAATATTTATTGGTTTGTTTAATAAAACTGTTTGTGAACATAAATCAGCAGATTCAAATTTTAGTGCCAACATAAGCATAATCATGAATTAGTGCTTCAAACTTCCATGCCATATGCTGATTTACACATGTATCAATGATTTATTTATGGTATTCATGAATTGGCAGATTTTGGTCTGCTAAAAAGCTGCTTAAATATTTTTTTTAAGTACACAAACAGTAATAAAAAAAGTATTTTTTGCAAATTGCAGATGACTGTAATCCTGGTTTTGAGCTGGCCCCCAATGGAACCTGCGTACGTTGTCCGTTGGGTAAATACAGAACTCTGGGAACTACAGCTGTGTGTGTCACGTGTCCATCTGACAAGACGACTCCAACGACTGGGTCTACCTCCATAGCTGACTGCTCACTCAGTAAGTAACAACCAGGTCTACCTCCATAGCTGACTGCTCACTCAGTAAGTAATAACCGGGGTCTACCTCCATAGGTAACTGCTCACTCAGTAAGTAACAACCAGGTCTACCTCCATAGCTGACTGCTCACTCAGTAAGTAATAACCGGGGTCTACCTCCATAGCTAACTGCTCACTCAGTAAGTAGACATTTAAAGATTTAATTATGTGTTATCATTTACAGATATAGGAATATGGTTGTGCTAGCATTCAAATTACATGTCAAAAATCTTTTTAAAAACATAATTTTTAAAAAGTTCATTATCCTAAATGTCACATTGCCAAACAATGAGATAATTTCTCACTTGATTACAAAATTTTTTCCAGCTTCTTGCCTCCAGGGAACTTACAGAAGTGGAGAACCCTATATCATTTCTTTTTTGGAAGTTATTCAATAAGTTTGCGAATTTTTTGATCACCCCTCGTATATAACATTTACAAGATTCCAAAACTTTCTCTTAAGGGAGAGTATCAAGACGAAAAATGGCAGACCTCCTGTAAATCCTGTGGTGGCGTACGATACATGACCCTCAATAAAGGCTCCACACAAAAGTCAGACTGTATCTGTAAGTATTAGCACTGTTCCACCCCAAAATCTGACAATAGTGTCTCCATCCAATAGTTTGAATGTATCATTGAGTATATTTAGCCCTGCTCCATCCCAAAATAGATACAAATTAGAATCTAATTATGTTTTTTTGTCTGGCCGTTTCTGTGTACATTGTACATTGTAATTTTATTGTGCAGTCTTCTGTGAGAGTGGACAAGAAGTAGACAACAGTACCAGTTCTCTGACCTGTGTTAACTGTAAAGTAGGATTTTACAAGGACAACTCCATAGACCCAACAAGCAAATGTGTAGCCTGTCCTGGAGGAAAATTAACCGCCACAACAGGATCTGATTCCATTGATGACTGCTCAATTTGTAAGTGCTGGCAAATGTCAGAATACAACTTTTGGTTTATACAGGCATTAGCCAAATATTGGATTAACCTGAATTGTTATATATGACTTAAGGACCTGATACTTTTGTGAAATGGGGTTAAATTTAGTTCCCTTGTAATTATTATACATTTTCCTACTTTTGAACAATTAAAAAAAAGTCCTTATAATACGTAACCTTTAAGGTAATTTTGTTATTTGTGTATAATTCTTCTTCAACAATGAAAATTGTTCAGACTGATGAATCAGAAATGAAAGTTGTCCCGAGTAATAGTTGGTTTACATTGATTTTTCTCTTACAGTCCGATGTGGTGCCGGTTACCGCCCCAATGCCACCGCCAATGGCTGTGACCCCTGTCCTTACGGTACTTATCAGAGTCAGGCCGACCAGGAGAACTGCACCGTTTGTCCCGCTGGTTATAGTACTCATCAGATAGCCTCCACTCAGTCATCTGACTGTAAAGGTACAAAAAAGGATCCATATTCTATTGATATATAGAGAACCTTGTAAACACAATATGGATGCTAAGTCATAATTTCCCAAAATGATGTTTATCTTTTTTGGACATTCTTATGTGTTTTTACCAACATTCTGATGTATATTTAAAATTAGTGTTGGCAACGAGTACCCGGTTAACCGGTTAACCGTCGAACGATGCGAGTATCAGTTAGTAAAACTGCTATTCGGTTACTCGCATGAAAAAAATTTACATAGTAAATGCATATAAAATGATTGTTTCATCATTTATAAATGTATATTTACACATTTCCCTTGTTTCAGGTACCGTTAGACTTGATCTAATACATGGTTGTTGTGGATCAAATTGTTTTGATTAGTTTTCACACTTTATATAATTAAAAGCTTTGATTGCTTGGGGGTATACAACAGTTTAAGTCCTGAGTTATGATTACCTCATTTGATAATTTAACGTTATGCCGCCACAGACAAATTAAGCTTGGAGTTGTAAGAAAGAACAGCTGATTCAAAATCTCAACAAAATTATTAATTAAGGAATATGTAGATAATTATTATTCTCCTTGATAGCGACATATTTCGGGGGCTGAAAATTAAGGAAAGCATAAGGAAAGCAATTGTGAGATGGTGATTGACGATGTCTTTATTTGTCCTCTTCGTGTGTCAAATTCCTTATTTTCTTTCATCTAAAATAAAAATTCGTTGACAATATCGCATGTGTTTATTGTTAATATAATGTCCATATATATACAGTATATTTGTGTATTACTACTACCGATAAGTAAAGCATAAGATAAATAAAAGATGTGGATACTTTCACGAAAAATCATCCGAGTACGGGTACTCGATCGGAAGATGAAGCGAGTAACCGGTTACTAAAAATCGTCCAATTTGCCAACACTATTTAAAATCTTGAAAATTTTGAGCAAAAATGGGAAAAAAGTCTTTAAATTGGCAGATTTAATAAATGGTAAGACAATATTGAACTTTGCTTTATTTCCAGTGTTCTGTGAGTCTGGGAAGGTCCGTAATGAACAACTTCAGAGGTGTGATGACTGTCCTATTGGTTACTACAAGACAAACACAGATTTCAAGTTCAATAACTGTACAAAGTGTCCCGTGGACTATGTCACTCCCGCTACTGGATCAGATTCTGTCTCGGACTGCACCGTCAGTAAGTAACAACTACCACGGAGGAGTTTATTGTAATACATTCAGATGAATGAAATTCTTCTTTGTCAAGACCATACATCATAAAAGAAAAAATTTTGCCACGAATTACAATGGTTTACAGAGTTGAAGGCCAAAGGGCACAAAATTGTATTCCACTATTCCTCACATACTGTACCTATACTAATCAGTTGTAATGTTATTATCAAGAATCTAAATTTCCCAAGAGATCTTTGTTTAGCAAGTTCTGTAATTTTTGTTGACACCTTGACAAAGCTCTCGATCCTTATTTTCATCTTCAGGGGATTGCCCAGCAGGAACAAAGAGACAGACGGGTGACACAGGCTGTGATGGATGTCTGAGAGGGCAGTACCAGCCCAATCCCCACCAGTCATCGTGTTTAGACTGTCCAGCCAACACATACACCCGCGACGTCAACTCCACCAAACAGACAGACTGTGAAAGTAAGATTGCTTTGTATGTTGATACTCGTCAATTCTCTATGATGAACTGAAGACGATCTAAATAATTGTATAGTCTGAATGCAATATCATATCTTAGTAAGTAAACCATTGATATATTCTTCAGCATTCTGTCCCTCTGGCCAGGAGAAGACAGGGGGAGCTTGTGTTACTTGTACAGTGGGATACTACAAAGATAACAATGAAGATAAGTTCTCCATGTGTACTCTCTGTCCTGTGGAATTCATCACCGCCAACAATGGATCTACTGCAAAAACAGACTGTACAATAGGTAGACTTTTTTTCTTTGTATGTTTTTTTGCGAGGATGCTTTTCCAGGGGAATGCAACTTAAAAGCTTTCTCATTGATTCATTTTATTTGTATTGGACAATGAATGCTAACTTCTGCTTTCATTTATGTAGAGATATTTACAATTTTCAGTTCCTTGATTTTTTTTTCCAATTTAATTGTTATGTTTATAAAGTTTTAATATGTTAGAACTGCAGAAAAGAGGAGCCCCAAAAAATCCCCTTAAGTTTTATACATGTACTAGCAGGTATTTCTTTGCAAAGACGTGTTTTTCATCTCTGTTCATTATGTTTGGTTTTCATCCAACAGCCAATTGTTCTGCTGGACATTATAGAGATAATAGCAACCAGTGTCAGCCTTGTGCCAAGGGTTTCTACCAGCCGGAGCGATGGCAGACATCTTGTGTTCAGTGTCCCACAGACAAAACCACTGAGTCCACCGGATCGACCTCCCTCAGCATGTGTCAATGTAAGATTGTAATACAGGGTCATATTTAAAAGTTTTTTATTACAATCGTCTAGAGATCTAACGTTATAGGAATTTCTCTCCCGCAGACCCTGATTTTCAATATACATTCATTAAAGGAAATTTGGTGTGTATATCCACAGAAATTTTACTCTTTCCTGAATTGTTAACTTTTAAAATATAAATATGACCCCAAAAACAAACCTTCAGACAGAGATTTTACATCTTGTAAACTCTTCAGTTTTATTCTGCTGACGTTTTAATTCTTCTGTTTTAATTACAGTACAGTGTAGTCCTGGTTATGAAGACATCGGTGGAAACTGCAGCAAGTGTAAGATTGGATATTACAAGACTGAGTATGCTGCTGCCCTGTGTAAGGAATGTCCTTCAGGATTCATAACACAAGCCGAGGGAGCCACTCTGGCAGCAAACTGCTCTGTCCGTCAGTATTTCTAGACATTTTCTGAACTGTATATGAAAAATTAATTCCCTTTTGAATTTGAACAGTGATGACAAAGCCCCAGGGATCATGAAATATCTTGAGATTTATATATCTCTATTGCAATGGAAAATATTTTAAAAGACAAGTGGTCAGTTATAAAAATGTTTTTCAACAATGCATAATCAGTATGCTGTCATTGGCAAATTTAAATGGATGGAAATTCTTTTGTGTGCTGTATTTCAAATAGTGTAGTATTATTATCAAATTACAACTGCTGCAAAGTAAAACACCAATAGAAAAGTATTCATACCCTCCTTCTTTTATATGTAGCTGCCTGCAACCCTGGATCTTATCTTAAAGACAATAAGTGTGAGCTTTGCCCTTATGATACATACCAGCCAGATAAATGGCAGACATCTTGTGTAAATTGTCCTGCTAACAAGGCTGTGACACAGAAAATGGGAGCCACCAGTCTCGACGAGTGTGTGGGTGAGTTTGAAGCTTTCAGTCCTTCTTTGTTAACCCCAGACTTGTCAAATGGTGCAAGTTACTGAACAAGTTAAAGTTATTTATATAGTCAGTTTGAAATTTTTCTCCAATTGCAACTTAAGAATTTTGACCATGAAATAAGTTGCATATAATCAAACTATAACAGTCCCGAGAAGAGGTTTGTGAAAGTCAAAGACAAAAAAACATACCGCAACTGTAACAAAATTTAATGATAATTGAGGGTTGTTTAATTGTTTTCAATGGATAAAAAAAGGGGGACTTTGAAAATTTTACAATATTTATCACTAATACAAACAAGAGTATATTAAATTTTGTAATTAATAAAAGTCAAAAGTTTTAATCATGTTTTATGATTTTTTCTTCAGTGGATTGTCCCTCTGGTGATCAGTATGATCCTGTAACTAAGGGCTGTAATGGTTGTCTGCGTGGCTACTACAGAGATAAAACGGATCGCACTCAGCTAACATGTCAGATGTGTCCAGTAGATTTCATCACCTCAGCTGACCGGGCCACTAGTGATAGTAACTGTACCATCAGTAAGTCAGATTACACATTTCTTCATATAAGCAAATGAATGTAATTCCACAATGCACCAATGAGGTATAAAATTTCAATACTTAACTCTGCATACACATACTTAGCTTCATGTTGTCCATTTGTTGAGGATACATTTTGCCAAAGCAGAAGAGAATTCAGGATTGTTTTGGATAATACATCTCCAAAAATACATTATCTAATTGGAAAATAATGTTCTTGCCCTCAAATTTTATTTTCCAGCAATTTAGTCTTTTCAAAGAAAAAAAAAACCCACATCCATTTACTTTCAAATCCCTGGTTACATCAATCCTTCTAGTCCCAATAGAATTACTTGAATATTAAGATCAAAACTTAAGGCCCCTTGTTCCAATTTTTAGCTCCCCATATACTGTACTTTTTGGGATGAGTTTGAACACCTGTAAATCTTTTACTTTGCACAAGACTGAAGCTCCTTGCATCATTGTAAAATTCAGATAGAAATTAATTGGTATATTGAACTGAAACATCATTCTATTAATTTATTAATTTTTTTCATTTAGGCAGCGATGTTTTCTCTTTTATACCACATAGAGTATATGATTTTGCTCTCTTCTACTTTTAGGAAACTGCACCTCCCCTGGTCAGTACAGAAATCCAGCAGATAACCAGTGTACAGATTGTCCAGTGGGAACGTTCAATGAATATAAATGGCAGGACAGCTGTACCCAATGTCCACAAGGCTACACAACCAGAGCAAGAGGAATGACCAGCAGGGATAATTGCACCAGTAAGTCGTGATGTACCTTATTTATCCAATAAATATTTTACAGAGTGCAACAGAGGTTTGTCAGAGTTATGTCCCTGCATCAGTAAGTGGTGTCCATTCCTCGAAGACCTTTAGCACTACTGTACCTAAGATTTTCTTGGATGATACTATTACATTTTAATACATGTACTGGTACCTGGTCTAAGTAGGATTCTATTTATAGAATGTCTTAGTATATAAAACAATGGATAATTACTAGGGATGCCAAATCGGTCAATTTTTATTAGTAGGACCCGGGTTCGGTAAAGTGTAAATGAATAGGAACAAGTTAATTGATAACTGTAAAACATGGTAAACTCTTGTAGTATATAAAACAATGCGTTATAATAATATAATTATGACCACTTTGTACGCGACGAAATTCTTTTTAAGTTCAATTTATTTATCACATAAAATCATAAATTGTTCACAGTGTTTTTGTTTCAAATAATCCATTAATTGTATATGTAGCTTTGATGCCTTTGACGAAATAAGTTGTCAGAGCTACATGTACGGTATAAACTTATATAATCCTACAACAGAGAGGATTTATACGTGCTTTTTGATCCGAGATTTCATAAAATTACGAGAACATAAGATTTTTAAAGCATTTGCCTTCAACCATTGGCATTAATTGGCATGTAATCAAACGCATCCATATCAACAATCGCACATGCAATATCGTCTGTCTCTACGGCTTCTTGGAGAATTGACAAAATTATTTAATTTATTCAAATATAATGGACCTTAAACAATGTGTTCAATGAAAACAAATAATTAAAGCAAACTAAACATTAGGGTAGAAAACAGTCGAAGGTGAGAAAAGCCAGGTAGGCACATCGGTAATTACTGTATATAACGGTCATTTAGGAAACCCTATATATATATTTTAAAATCAATGTTTTAATGCATTAATAAATATATAAGCTCAGAAATATTTAAAATTACCCCACCTCTGTTGATTTTTCCATGAAATCCTGGCTTACGATTGGTTAAAGTCTGTCACGTGAAGGCGGTGGATTACTTATACCCGGTCAGTTGTAAATCCATACCCGGTCGATGCATTACGTAACAAACACAATGTGACGTCATAATAGGCGCAGTATAAGCGTGATGAAGCATTTAGCAGAGAAAATCATTTATAAACCACAAATAAAACGTAAATGTTTCATCGGTGGGGTAAATTCGTTACATAGACTTTTAGTGACAGGGTATGGGATGATACCTGGTTAGTAAATTTCATAACAGACTCGGCTCCGCCTCGCCAGGTATGAAATTTACTAAACAGGTATAATGATAAATTTATTAATATACATCCCCGAGTATTTTAGTATTCGATACTAAATATATTAAAATAAACCTTTAGAGATCCATTATGTAATAGCAGTATAATATATACTATCTTAAGAAGATGTTTTTGTTATGTCATTAAACAATAGCTATATATATATATTATTATAACACGGGACTTTTTATAAAGCGCAAGAAATATTTCTGCGTACTATGTCATCAGTTTCAGATAGTGGTGATATGGATTCAGAAAACCACAGTGTGGTGATTGGGAAAGTCAGATCACGACATCACATTATTGCGTTAAATCTACAGTAAAATTGAGTGATACACATTAGGTATATAATAAAGTGGTATATTATATGTACCCTGTATTCTGCAAAATATGATAGTAACCCAGCCTTAAGCTACCAGGTAATCAGTAACAACAGAATATTTTTTAGCATCATGCATGTGATTTCAACCACCTCAACATTTGGATTTGTATTTCTATTTTTTAGGGGATTGTCCCTCTGGACAGTTTGAGACACAAGGTGTTTGTCAAGTGTGTCTGCAGGGTACCTATAGAGACAAAACTGAAGGGTTTGACTGTAAGCCGTGTCCCTCTGGGTACACCACACAAGGCACTGGAGCCACTTCTCGTACAGACTGCAGCATAAGTAAGTTGTTTTAGGGTACCTTCTGTGCTTAACAAATTAACAATTATTCTGTGCGAACAATGTTTTTAGCTCACCTGAGCCGAAGGCTCAAGTGAGCTTTTCTGATCACATTTTGTCCGTCGTCCGTCTGTCTGTCCGTCCGTCCGTCCGTCCGTCTGTCCGTCTGTCCGTCTGTCTGTCCGTCTGTAAACTTTTCACATTTTTGACTTCTTCTCAAGAACCACTGGGCCAATTTTGACCAAACTTGGTACAAAGCATCCTTGGGTAAAGAGGAATTTAAATTGTTAAAATAAAGGGCCAAGTCCCCTCACAAGGGGAGATAATCAAGAAAAGACAAAAATAGGGTGGGGTCATTAAAAAATCTTCTTCTCAAGAACCACTGGGCCAGAAAAGCTGAAACTTTTATGGAAGCATCCTGGGATAGTGTAGATTCTAAATTGTTGAAATCATGACCCCAGGGGGAAGGGCGGGGCCACAATGGGGACTCAAAGTTTTACATAGAAATATATAGGAAAAATCTTTGAAAATCTTCTTCTCAAGAACCACTGGACCAGAAAAGCTGAAACTTATGTGAAAGCATCCTGGGGTAGTGTAGATTCTAAATTGTTGAAATCATGACCCCCAGGGGAAGGGCGGGGCCACAATGGGGACTCAAAGTTTTACATAGAAATATATATAGGAAAAATCTTTGAAAATCTTCTCAAGAACCACTGGGCCAGAAAAGCTGAAACTTATATTGAAGCATTCTGGGGTAGTGTAGATTCTAAATTGTTCAAATCAATACCCTCGGGGGGAAGGGCAGGGCCACAATGGGGAATCAAAGTTTTACATAGAAATATATAGGAAAAATCTTTGAAAATCTTCTTCTCAAGAACCACTGGGCCAGAAAAGCTGAAACTTATATGGAAGCATCCTTGGGTAGTGTAGGTTCTAAATTGTTCAAATCATGACCCCCGGGGGAAGGGCGGGGCCACAATGGGGACTCAAAGTTTTACATAGAAATACATAGGAAAAATCTTTGAAAATCTTCTTCTCAAGAACCACTGGGTCAGAAAAGCTGAAACTTATGTGGAAACATCCTGGGGTAGTGTAGATTCTAAATTGTTCAAATCATAACCCCCGGGGAAGGGCGGGGCCACAATGGGGAATCAAAGTTTTACATAGAAATATATAGGAAAAATCTTTGAAAATCTTCTCAAGAACCACTGGGCCAGAAAAGCTGAAACTTATGTGGAAGCATCCTGGGGTAGTGTAGATTCTAAATTGTTCAAACCAGAAAAGCTGACACTTATGTGCACATGGAAGGATCCTGGGGTAGTGTAGATTTCAAAATGTCTAAATTATGATCAGTGGATGCATTATGTATTACAAGGAGGAAATCTGGTAAAGAACAGAATGGTCAAAGCTTCTCAGGTGAGCGGTGTGGCCCATGGGCCTCTTGTTTTCTCTCCGATTTTTTAGTTTGAAGGCAAATATAACCTAAGTATGAGTCCTTTAAATGTGGAATGTTCATTGGTATTAAATTCTATCGATAACATTCATCAAGGAAACAGACTCCTTTGCGAAAATTTTTCAGAAATATTTTAAAACAATGAAATTGTACCCCCCCCCCCCTCCCCAAAAAAATCAACATTGATCACAATTCAACAAAATTTTGTCCCCCTCATACAGTGTTCCATATCCTAATAAAATACTCTAAAACAATGAAATTTATACTGTGAAATCATTAATTTTCGTGGGGGTTTAATTTTCGTTGTTTTCGAGGCATGGAGAGACCCACGAATTCATGACCACCACGAAATGTAAAATTTAATATACATTACTACTTAAACATTCTCCATCCACGAAATCAAGTCCCCACAAACCAAGATTTTTTCCTCAAACCTCGAAAATTTGACCCCATGAAAATATGTGATTTTACAGTATATTGTATTCTGCTGTTCTAGCTAACTGCAAAGTAGGAGAATTCTTTAATGACCAGCTTCAGAGGTGTGAACTCTGTGGTAACGGAACATACCAGGATCAACCACGGTCAAGTAGCTGCAAGTCCTGTGGACCGGAGGGCTATTTCACCGTCAGCTTGGGCAGCACATCTATATCTGCCTGTAAAAGTAGGTCTATCCAGATGTAAAATTTAGTCAGTAGTTTTTATTATTAAAAAAAATGCTAATCCACTGAACTCAGTCGTGCATTTTATTTGGAAGTGTCTTTTTATAAACCTAAATATGTTTTACTTTGTTGTTCTTCATATTTTTAAGAATTATCCTGTGTCTTTGCATGGGAATTTTTATCTGGTTTTCAAAAATTAGAAATTTTTACATAGCTTTGAAAATACATAATGTGCACTAAGGTTGAATACCGGTACAACTTTCATCATATTTATAGCTTGTTTGAAATTTCAGCATATACTTCATATATTGAAGAGGTATATTTTTCACCTGATTGTTGGTTTTACTTGAGCTGATACATATATTGATAACAATTTTAATTTTTTGGTCCACAGAGTTCTGTGACGCTGGAAACAACAACTGTCACCTGGCTGTTGGTTTTACTTGAGCTGATACATATGTTGATAACAATTTTAATTTTGTGGTCCACAGAGTTCTGTGATGCTGGAAACAACAACTGTCACCTGGCTGCCTCCTGTACCCCCACCTCTAACAGCTTCACCTGTCAGTGTAACCAGGACTTCCAGGGAGACGGCACCAACTGTACTCGTAAGTTATCTCCCTGTATTGAGGATTGAAATTTTAGAGTTAACTTTATTAAATTGTTCCTCTCCTTTTTTTGATAAGAAAACAACAGATCATTCAAAGAGTCAATTCTGTATGATTAATGAGAGGCATCAAATAATAGTAGTTTTTTTGACATACTATTCCACAAAAATTGTCCTGCATTATTTGAGTTAATTGAGAATTTTATGAAATCATTTCAGTTTATTGATTTTTATTCTACAAGATATTGTTTAAGTTTCATCATACTAAATTTATTACATGGGGCCTTGATATATTGGGGTAATACATGTATGTGAAGGAAAAAATTCCCTCCCCCCCCCCCCCCCATTAACATTTTGATAATTTTCCTTTAGGAATAATGTACATTCTTTTTTTTAAATTTTCTTCTAGATAAGTGTGATTTAGGCTATTGTGTGCATGGAACATGTGTCAAGTCACCAAAACTACTCTGTCAGTGTGGCACTGCCTATCTAGGAGACAGATGTCAGATTCGTAAAGGTACGTAATGGATTGGCTCAGCTTCTGAATCAAAGCAGAGCTGAAAGAGTTCATTATCTTGACAAATAATTCGCTTTGTAAATAATATACTTTTTGAATCATATGTTAATTGTGGGACTCAAAGAATTTTGATTTATATATAAGTCTGATTTTTATTACTGTAAAAACTAAACTGTTGCCAAAATAATGCCAATATAATTCAAAGTCATGAAAATAGAGCCTATTTTTTCATACTACTGGAAATAAAATTGTCCTGCATTTTCATTGGTAGATTTCAGTAAAGAATCACAGCAACAGAACGAGACAGTAATTATAGCTTCTGTGACGGCTGGAGCTGCTCTTATGATTCTCGCCATTCTCATTGTCTGCTGTGTTGCCAGGGCACGCAAGTAAGTTGTTTTACCCTTTGTTATTTCACTTCATGTTAATCAAATTATTCTAAGCCTAAGAATCAAAGGTTGCATGGGGGAGGGGGGGGGGGGCATAAAATCAACTAAAAAAATATGATTGCTTTTGAGTTCTGTTATTCCATGTTAGACAATATTGTGTGATTTACTTTCAGAAGACCAGAGAAGTACAGTCATCACACAGAATACACAGGAGGTCCGCCGATGGATAAAGCCGCATTGTACGGTCCACCATTTCCTGCAAGTCCCTATGACAATTACAGCATGAGGTCATATTCTGCGGGTGGATCCTTTAGAAATGTAACCACATTGCCAGAAGTTGCATATCATAATCCAGGTTTTCAGGGTGAGTTCAGTCATTGTAATGATGAAGAATTCTTTATGTTAGACCAAGATTAAGTATTGAATTTAAGGTTTCCATTTGTTTTCCCAGTGTAAGTAGGGTAAACAACTTATTTTGTTTACACAGGTACCCTATGTTGTAAATTAACTAAATACATGTATACTGAATATATTCACCTTTATGTGATATATTTTTTCTTTAAGTTAAAAGAGCAATTTTTAATTTCTTAAACTTCTATTTTTTACAAGAATATTAATTAACTGGTCAATAAGTCCTGTTCAGTTTTGGCAAAATAGTGTCAACAAGGGCTAAATACCTTCAGCAATGAATTGAAGTCCAGACTTGGAATTTTAACTCAATAATATAAATGTCATTTCAGATGATCCTGCAGTTTACCAGGCCTAAAAGGAACGGGTTTAAAAGTTAAAGAAATCAAACATTTTCATGAACAGTGTGAGCCAGTGAGTGACTGTGCCACTTTGACAATATCATTATGACCTTGCCATATTCATCATACTCATTATACTATATATACATGTATCTATACTCCTGCATCTTATTATGTTTTGTCCCCATTCAGTAATGTCTTGTGTTCTTCATATAATCAAAGTGGTAATATCAAGCATCAAATATTACATTTTCAGATTTTTAATGACCTTTTTTGTTTTTTGCATTTTATTGTTTATTTTTTTGAATGTCTTATTTTTTTACCGAGTGTTGATAGTTTACAAATGTTTATGTACAGAAAGATAAAGAAATGTGCACTCTATTGTTGACACCTATTTATATGAGATATTTTACCCCTAGATCTCTCAACATAGTCCCTAGCAATAATGTGCCAACTGGTTACTGCAATAATGCTGTGAAAATATATAAATCATACACAGCTGGGGTACAGAGCAGGGTTCACAAAATATCAGTAAAAGAAAAAATCTGAAAATGTTATACCAAGGACTCAAAAATGTAAATAACTTGAGATAATTAACATAATATTTGTAAATAGGTCAGGGTCACAAAAGGGGTAGAATATCTTTATTTATATCTGACTGCTGATTGGTATGATAAATGATGTATTTTCTAGCTTGGTATATTCCAAATATAGAGTGACTGGTAAATTGTTCATGTGGAGTTCAGGTATTGTTAAAAATACTCTGAAAAAAATGAATGGTTGACAAAATATCCTCACTACAGCAATCAAATACAAGGTTATTAGCTTATATACTCATATTTTGTCATAATAAAAATTTATAAAAATTTATATATTGAATATATTTAACTGGACTTATGTATTATCAATATTATGCAAGTTTACAAACATATGTTGATAATTTACTTCTATGTGTTGTGTTATTTTTTGGAAGTTGCAAAGCAAGAGAACAAACTATTGGCTATATAAAGATGATGCATTAGATGACAAGATGGTCATTGGATGAATCAAACTGAAATCAGCATGATCAAAGAACAATGTCTATTCTGATTGGCTGAAACGTCTGTTACATACCCAGATAGGGCTAAATCACCAAAATACAGATAGATTGAGAGGCCATATGATAAAATGATAACATATTCTTATTGAAAATGATTAAAAATTTCCAGCATTTTGACTTGCAGCAAGACTTTGTCTTGGAACTCTGGAGAAAAAGAAGTAAATACAAAACTTAAAAATCTACAGAAGAAGGAAAATTGCTAAGAAATGAATAACTAGTGATGTGTTTAGAACATACTGTAAACGTATTACATTTGGCTGTGTATTCTTTTTAGCGGCTTTGAGGGAACGCAACAACCGCTAAATCAAGTACAACGCTAAATGCGTTGCATATAAACACATACATAAGAATATGAAGAAATGCGCTAAATCAAATCTATGCTATCTTATTCAAAAGTCATTTTCCGCCAAATATCGTACACGCTAACTATAATACATTTGCAGTATATCCCTTTTATATAAGGAGTTACTACTTATCTACATGTACAACATTTGACTGAGAAACCTTGAGCACATTATGTGATAAATTGTTAGAGGATCTATTTTTAGCTCACCTGAGCTGAAAGCTCAAGTGAGCTTTGCTGATCACCCGTCGTCTGTTCGTCCCTCTTTCTCTCAATGGCCAGAGAAGCTGAAACATACATGTATGTGAAAGCATCCTGGGGTAGTGTAGATCTACTCTAAATACTAGTAATCATGACCCTGAGGGTTGGATGTGGCCACATTAGGTATTACAAGTGGGAAATCTGATGAAGAACTGCATAACCAAAGTTACTCAGGTGAACTTTGTGGTCCATGAGCCTCTTGTGTTAGGTCATCCTGCAAGTTAAAACCAGTTTGATCAGCCTAACTTTTGGTAAAACAAAAACAATTGTTATTGTTACAGTAAATGGGTAATTTTTTTTAGTTGGAGCATTCCAAGTTTATAATATGATAAAAGATGAACAGTGATTTTTTTTCAGTTTGAAGATTACTAAAAAAAAATACAAGCAAGTTCAAAGAATTGTGGTCCCCCGCTTTCAGTGTCTTTGTGGGTGAGATGTCATTTTTTATGACATATTGTGTCTAATATGAACAACCTATCATATGTCATTTATTTAGAAATTATCACTGAAGTTGATATTTTTTTAATAAGGTCAATCGTGAAGGTCAATGGGTTAGAAATCACAGCATGCTCGGAAATATCTTGTCACAGGTAATGCACATGTCAAATATGAAAGCCCTATCTCTTCTCAATATAAGGAACAAGGATATGTTTGTGAAACACTGATGACCCCGTATGGCAACATAAGGAAGATTTTACTTTTCTTAAATGCAAATGAAATATATTACCCAAAGTAGGGTTTTCAGACAAGAAATACGATTGTGAAATACAAAATCCCTAGAACCACTTGTTCAAAACTTATGGCCAAGGATAAATTTTTGAAAGGTAGGTCAGACTCCAAGGTGAAAGGATCTGAGTTGTTGATTTGTTAAGAAAGGTCACAAGTAATACATATGTTAAGGATGAAAACCCTAACCCTAACCGTTCAATTATGGCCAAGGTAAAAGTTTTTGAAAAGTAGGTCAATTTCCAAGGCTAAAGGGTCAAAGTTCTTGGTATTCAATGAAAGGTCTTCTCACAAGGATTACATATGTGAAATATGAAAGTCTTAGTTTCTATCATTCAAAGGATATGGTCAAGGTTAAAGTTTTTCATAAGTACGGAAATCTCCAAGGTCAAGGTCAAAGTTGTTGGTATCCAATGAAAGGTCTTGCCACAAAAAATACATATGTGAAATATGAAAGTCCTAGTATCTACCGTTCAGAAGTTGTGACAAAGGTCAATGTTTTTAAAAAGTAGATCAAAATCCAAGGTCAAGGTCAAAGGGTTAAAGTTAAAGTTCTTGGTATCCAATGAAAGGTCTTTTCACAATGATACCATATGTGAAGTAAGAAAGCCCTAGCCCTTACTATTAAAAAGTTATGATCAAGGTTAAAGTTTTTTCATAAGTACGAAATTTCCAAGGTCAAAAGGTCAAAATTGTTGGTATCCAATGAAAAGCCTTGCCACAAAGAATACATATGTGAAATATAACAGTCCTAGTTTCTACCTTTCTAAAGATATGCCCAAAGTAAAAGTTTGGAATTTTTGTGTAAATGTTGGTCAAAAAACTCCAAGGTCAAAAGGTCAAATTTGGTGGTACCCAAAGAAAGGTCTTGTCACAAGGAATACACTTGTGAAATATGAAAGTCATAGTTCCACTAAATCAGAAGTTATGGGCAAAGTTAAAGTTTTGTGACGGACGGACAGACTGACGGACAGTCGAATGAGATTTAATGTCCCCTCGCTTTCGCGAAAGCGGGGGACAAAAATTAACTAAGCGTACAATCACAGTACTGCAAATATAACCTGTGTACCATCGTATTTGTTTTAAGGTGAAATTTTCCTCTGATAAGAGAGATACCGAGGTAACTTTCAGGGACGTAGCAACCGGGGGGGGGGGGGGGGGGCTGCCCCCCCCCCACTTTTTTCCCCAACATTACCTTTGCTATAGTAAATGTTCATTGAAAGGATGGTTGCCCCCCCCCCTCCACTTTATACCATAGTATAGTGAAATCAAGGATTGTAGGAAAAAAATTGGAAGTGATAGTAAGTTAGCTCTGAAAAAGTTGGCCATTACCCCCCCCCCCCCCCCCCCCCCCCCCCCCCCCCACGAAATAGGATTTTCGAGTTTGGGCAACTTGTAACTTTTTCCTTTTTTTTCCTTGTCAACTTTTTCAGGTAAGTAAAAAAAAAATTCTCTGGTTGCCCCCCCCCCCCCCCCCCCCCCCCCCCCACTTTCAAAAACGATGCTACGTGCCTGACTTTCCAAGAAATTTTTCCAAGAAATTCAATGAATCGATAGCTATACAGTGGAGTCGCCAATTCCGGGTCACTCATTGTATTTTATGTCATATTGTTAAAATCTAACCGCAAAAAAATTAATGAATACGCTGCTCATGAAGAACTGGTCTTTCTGTATGTAATTAATTAAAAAAATTGAGTATCAACTTTAAGTACGGAAGCGTATTAGTGCCACTTGCACACTTTACTTTTTTTTAATTTCGACACTTCAATCTGTATATTTTACACTTTAAAGTGTAAATTTTACACTTTAATCTGTAAATTTTACACTTTAATATGTAAATTTTACAGATTAAAGTGTGAATTTCACACTTTAATCTGTAAATTTTACACTTTAATCTGTAAATTTTATACATTAATCTGTAAAATTTACACTTTAAACTGTAAATTTTACACATAAATCTGTAAATTTTACACTTTAATCTGTAAATTTTACAGATTAAAGTGTGAATTTTACACTTTAATCTGTAAATTTTACACTTTGATCTGTAAATTTTACACATTAATCTGTAAAATTTACACTTTAAGGTGTAAATTTTACACATTAATCTGTAAATTTTACACTTTAATCTGTAAATTTTACAGATTAAGGTATGAATTTTACACTTTAATCTGTAAATTTTACATATTAATCTGTAAATTTTACACTTTAAAGTGTAAATTTTACACTTTAATCTGTAAATTTTACACTTTAAAGTGTAAATTTTACACTTTAAAGTGTAAATTTTACACTTTAATCTGTAAATTTTACACTTTAATCTGTAAAATTTACACTTTAATCTGTAAATGTTACACTTTAAAATGTAAATTTTACACTTTAATCTGTAAAATTTACACTTTATTGTTAATTCACATAGTCAATTAAGCATCTTCACACATCCTCAGTAACACATTTGTAAGCCAATAAAATGTTAGTTTAAGCAAATTTTCTGAATTGATAGGATTTATAGATTATATCACAATTGTGTCATCCATATAATATTATTATTTATGTGAAAAAAGTCTAACAGGCCCTGGAATCTATATTGGGTGGAGGGGTCCTCAAGCACCTGTGAATATATGTTTGATATGCTCTTCACTTTATATTCAAAGAAAAGTTTTACTTTAATATAAAACATCAGAATTAAATTTTATCATGCACGAAACACGGTCTGTTGGCTTAGAAATGTGTTACTGAGAATGTGTGAAGATGCTAAATTGACTATGTGAATAAACAAATAAAGTGTAAATTTTACAGATTAAAGTGTAAAATTTATATTTTAAAGTGTAAAATCTACAGATTAAAGTGTAAAATTTACACTTTAAAGTGTAAAATTTACAGAAGAAAATGTAAATTTTACAGATTAATGTGTAAAATTTACAGATTAAAGTGTAAATTTTACACATTAAAGTGTAAATTTTACACATTAATCTGTAAAATGTACACTTTAATCTGTAAAATTTACACTTTATTTGTTTATTCACATAGTGAAAAATTTACACATTAAAGTGTAAATTTTACAGATTAAAGTGTAAATTTTACAGATTAATGTGTAAAATTTACACTTTAATGTGTAAAATTTACATATTAAAGTGTAAAATTTACATATTAAAGTGTAAAATTTACACTTTAAAGTGTAAAATTTACAGACTAAAGTGTAAAATTTACAGACTAAAGTGTAAATTTTACAGATTAATGTGTAAAATTTACAGATTAAAGTGTAAAATTTACAGATTAAAGTGTATAATTTACAGATTAAAATGTAAATTTTACAGATTAAAGTGTAAATTTTACAGATTAAAGTGTAAATTTTACAGATTAAAGTGTAAAATTTGCACATTAAAGTGTAAATTTTACAGATGAAAGTGTAAAATTTACACTTTAATGTGTAAAATTTACAGATTAAAGTGTAAAATTTATATTTTAAAGTGTAAAATTTACAGATTAAAGTGTAAAATTTACACTTTAAAGTGTAAAAT